CGTACCATTCCTTACCGTTTCATGTTGCAACGCAATAAACCTGTAGGACCGTGCTAATCCTTGCCTCTCCGTAGTACAACGTATTACGATCGTGGCTTTCCGTGACAATGCCGTATTGATCCTTATTTAAACCGTAGCTTATACGTAGGGTAACCGTACAAATACGTAGTTCTCCGTACAAAACCGTGGAAATCCTTGACAAGTTGGTGGATTACGAATCAGTAAGGACTAGTACGGTTTTCGTATGGACCAGTACGTATCAGTACGGATTAATACGGACTAGTAGGGATATGCTACGGTTGATTTTTCCGTAGCAAATTTTTGTGCATGTTCAAAAATTGTCAAGGATCGCTACGGATATACAAGGACTACTACGATTGATTACGGTTACAATACGGAGAGCTACTGACCAGTACGGGTAGCTACGGACGATGCCGGAATTAATCCGTGGCTCTTCCGTGAGCGTATTCCGTGAATATGTGACCGGGGTATAAATGAGAGGAAAATGAAAGTGTGCAGTCAAGGCAGGGGAAAATGTTGCCGAGTTTCTCTAAATATTTTGACCCAAAAAACTCCAACTCTAAATACATGATGGATTAACTTTGTTTCTATTTCCAATTCATTTTTTCTTCTTCTTTAATCATAATTAATATATAATTATTATCTGCAATTAAATTGGAATCAGACTAAAATAATTTTTTCAATTTCTAAAATCAATACAAAATGATAAATAAATAAATCTTCAAAAGCCTAAGTTTTGCATAGTATTATATGGTTTAATTAAAGACAGCATGGTTTTTTTATATTAATCTTGAATTTCTCTTGAAATAAACAAAACTTCAAAAACATAGAATAAAGAAACTATTCATTCAAACAGAATTTCTATGCCATTCCTAATTTATATCAAGTCAACAATGAATGAAATAAAGTTCAGAGTTTAATACGGAAGAAAATCAGTTTTCGATGAAAAGTTTCACGCTAAGGCACAAGAGAATGCGCGCGAGATAAAAGGCGGAGCGACAAAGACAAACATGGTCCATGTTGAGAAGAATTATCCATTATACATTGATATCAATTATTAATGCTGGAGATGTTTCCCCCATGCCTATAATTTACCCACGATTTAGACAAGAAAAATATGGAAAGTAAAGTGGCTTTCACCGAGCACTTGTCCTGATTTACGATCCCAGTCTGATACTGGGGGGAAAACCAATAAGACAGAAAATTCCATACGACCAAATGTTTCTTTAAAATGTGCTAATATCCGTATATGGCAGATCAATTTTATACCATATAAGCTGACTGGGGAAATAACGTTACATTTCCGTCTCTGACACTTGAATACTCAAATGTCTCCTTCTTTTTCTATTCTCACAGTAAAGTATATATTTCTTTCGGTAAAAGCCATTGTCCGAGTTTCACAATGCTTCATTAAATCCTAATAATGTCAAATATACGGTGGCACAGAGGGGACATCAGATCAAAATTTTTTTTAATATTTCTTTTAACATACTCACATGTTTAAACTATGACATGCTCACATATTTATTTGCTTTTCTGTGCGCATATGATATTTATATTGACTATTAGGCTGAACTCTCTATTCTTTTGGGGGACGGGGGGTGGGAGTTGCGTATGCAAGATGGAGAAGAGCTGGGTTGGCGACTGAAGTACAAATTTCAAGAGCTTCCTTTTTAACTTCACAGTAGATTCTTATGGCCCATATTTGTTTTCAACAAACACTTTTGCATCAGTATTATTTTCATAGTTAAATGGAGAAAATGATTAAAGGACCTCTGAGAGTACAATATTTTCTCCATCAATGGAATTTATTGAACATCAATTATGTAGGACAGTAACAAACACGTTTTACAGCCTTCTTAATAACTTGTCAGTACATTTAAGTGGCCAATATTACTATCGTATATTTCTCATAGCCAACATTTGAGGCAGAAATGAGTCAAGTTTTTACCTTCTGTGTGCTCCTGTTTTAAAACGGCCAATGCAATGATCTTGTTTTGGCACCAAAATAGTGGGGGATATCTCAAACTAAATGTGCAGAAGTATTAAGATGAGATTTTTCCATCTGCCACCACAAATCAGACCTTTATACTTTTTACAAGGATGGCAGATATGAGTAAAGGAGAGGGTGGGACGGGGCTAGTGGGGGCATTTCATAATCCAAAAGTTAACGTCGATACTAATCCAGGGCTATAACAGGTTTCAGAACCAGACAGTGATTTATTATTAATAATCTTTGTTTTATTTTCACCAAAAAAATCTCTACAAATCAAATCTATCTAAACTGTTAACTTTGTTTCTCTACAAATTGAATCAATCTAAATGTTTAACTTTGTTTCTCTTCAAATCGAATCAATCTAAATGTTTAACTTTGTTTCTCTACAAATCGAATCGATCTAAACATTTAATTTTGTTTCTCTACAAATTGAATTGATCTAAACTGTTAATTTTGTTTAAACTATTAAGTACATCAGAATGTTTCATATTAAGAATGGGTTACAGACTGTCTTACCAATTAAACCAAGTTTACAAAACCCGGTAAACAGATATTTTAATTAAAGTAAATCTGCAATAATGTTTAACATTACCATGGAAACAAAATGGCTGCCGCTATTTTATCGTCATTTATATCTATCATTAATTTCTATGCATGCATGTTAAATCTCCTTAAAGAAATTAATCGTTTGGAATAAGGTCGAGTTGTTTTTAATTAAACATAGCCAATAACATACAAAATAGCAAAATATAGCCAATATTATACAAAATAGCAAAATTAATAATACAATGTTTTAAAGAAACTATTTCATAAATCAGAGATTCTTTTTCAATCTTGATATTGCAACAGCTATTAAATTTTCATACATGACAAGTGCCGCTCTGGCGTTATCTGTGTATTATTTTAGACACAAGCCCGCACCTAGGTTGTACCACCAACCTTCTGTTGTCTAGTTAACTTATTGAATTAACTTTCACTAAATCTATCATTTTCAAAGAACAAAAGTAAACGATTATTTCAAATACATCATAAATATAGCATAATTGATTAACTTTATCATCAATAATGAATTGAACAGCTTTTTCACTTCACAGAAACACAATCCATACCAGAAGTACCATTCAAAGGACTGCAGAAAATGTCAATATAATGATTAAAGAACTGCATTACAATTGTTATCAACATAATTATACCCTTTTATACATTAACACAACGTAATTATACCTTACCAGAATGCCAGGGAAAAAAAACAAAGCTTTTACTCAAAAGTTAGTTTAATTAAACATGCGTTAGGCTTTAAAAGAAAAAATTTCAAGGTAATCTAATAGTGTTACATCAGGAAAAGTGGGTGTGTTCCGAGAGAGTCTTTAACTCATTATCCTTGGGTTGACGGGCAGTTTCCTTAACTACCGAGTTACTGCCCCCAATATTCCTTGCTCAGTCTCGTACAATAAACAACAGGCATGTATAAATATTAACAGGCATGTATAAATATTGTCATAATTTCATAAACCATCATTTTACCAACCATAAAAAGTATTGACAAAGTCCAGAAATAGGAAGACCATTACATAAATCTGTTTTCCACGAGAGAACTTTGACTATCAGACATTTATCTGGGTGACAAGATCTCTATTAAATGTTTCAGCAACTTTCATCCGCTGAAAAAAAAAAGCTAAAAAAACAGAGAGAGTATGTGTGTGGACAATAAATATCCAGATATCCAATACATCAAATCAACACCAGTAGGCAGCTTCAATGGTACTGGCATCACTCTCAAGGGAGACAACTGCCGGTATAATACACCACTAACAAGATTTCTTCCCTCCCACACATAGCGGTCAGACACTTCTATAATACCAAGTACAGGGTGAGAGCAAAAGTTTTCTCTCCAACATAAGGAATTGTTTTTTCCTAACCCTTAACCTGTGAAATTTTTTTAAAGTATTTGTCAAGCTTCCAGTTTTGGAACTGTTCATTACCAAATCTAAGTAGATATCAAGATGAAAATTTAAATTTTAAGTAAGTCGGTCAAAAATATAGATTGAGTCTGGTCAGACAGCTAGGAAGTGCAGGCTGGCCTGGCTCTATAAAGGTGCTACCTTTGGTTCAAACAGGTTAAGAGTTTGAGCAGCAAAGCTTCGACACAGATTAAGATGTGTATATAACAGAAAACTTAATGTACTTAACTTATTCGCTTACCCATTTTTATGACAGATTCCCAATGCAAATTGTATCATTTAATGCAAATAGGAATTTCACTTGATTTTTATTGAAATGGTGCAATATTTAAAAGCACTGTTTGAAATGTAGTGAAACATATCTGATTTATAAAGCACTAGGGGAATCTCGTGAAGATTGTTTTGTCTTTAAACAAGGTAAAATAAAACTAGATTTCTGAGTGTTGATAAAAAAAACAACAACCAAAGTCAGACACAATAATTATACAGTGAAATCAAAACACTGCAAAAAAGATTTTTTTTGAAAGTAGCACAGCAAAATTCCATTTATGTTAACAATATTTAAATACAGTACTAGTGTGACCAGTTTAAGGAGAGGAGTTTAAACTTTTATACATATTCCACCATTTTATTAAAAAGCATAAATGGTTTCAAAGTCACCATACATACTTGAGAGTTGAATTAAAATAAGGGTGCGAAGAATTCTTTTTCAAAAATATGCAAGTGGAATCTTCTTGTAGATGCCATTATAGAATACCAGTTTTCGACTATTGATTTGATGCCTTAATTGCCAATTAATTAATCAAAGATTTATAGGTTGTCAAACCTGCCAAATTTGCTCAGTAGGTAACATGTTACGTTATTAGACCAACTAACTTTAGACAAACTAACAACTATAAAATGCAACAAAAAGCATATTTTCAGACATCACAAATATGACTCCACCCCGTCTGAAAAATTTATCTGACTGTCTATATTTTGGACCTCAAGTTATGAGTATGAATCTGTTTAAGTACACTAACCGGTGGTGGCAAGGCTTGATCCTCAACATCTGGGTATGGTACTGGTGGGGGGACTTCTCTTGGTGCCACATTGTTTGGCCTGTTAAATGAAGCCGTCTGTTTCTCGACAACCACTTCCTGGGTGAGCTCTGGTGGGGGTGGTGGTAAATCATCGTCATTTACTGTGTTCTGTTTCTGTAATATAAAGAGATCATATAACTTATTAGGGTTTTCATTTTTATATGCGGCAACACTGAAGAGACGCCCTAAAGAAAATAACCAATTTGACAATGGGTCATGGATAATATTTAACTGTACAGGCTAAAAATAAAACTGATTTTAACAGATGATATGAATCGCCAATCTGTTAATAATATAAATCCTAAAATGCCATAAATTCTTAACTTTTGGTAATGGTTCAGTTTAACGTATGGCGAGAAGCCCAAGTTGCATGGTACAGCATGGCACAACCTTTATTTCTTACAAATCACCTATCAAATGGAGGAACTTCAACATAAATGGCATCTTCAAGTTTTCAAAACTCTCAATCTGTGGCAATCAATCGAGTCAAAAAGACAATAAATGTGTCAAACTTTTACATTAAAAGGTGACTGTTTAATTTAACTGTACCGATACATTAATCAAACAATACAAAATCTATAAAGTGGCTTGTATTAGTTGTAAACATAAACCTAAACAAATTTACTAGTCTGAATCTATATGAATTACATTTATTATTTTTCTCTTGTTTCCGATTAACGTCACACCAACATAGTATTGGTCGTATTGCCATGTTCCAGCTTTACTAGTGGAGGAAGACCTCAGGTGCCCCTCTATACATTATTACAGGCACAAACGGGCACCTCAGTAGAACCACGGACTTTCCATAACCTAGCTGGATAGCTTTCTCAAGTGTAGAATCCAAAGATGCTGGTGCAGTCTATGAACTGTATAATAACTATATTGTGATACATATTGCATCATGAGCATTGCATCATGGGTCATGTGGTGTATGATAATATCAGGACTATTGCAACAGAGAGGAGACAAAACGGAGCAAAAATTTAATCTGGCATATCATGGGCTTTAATCTGGCATATCATGGGCTTTAATCTGGCATAAAATGGGCTTTAATCTGGCATATCATGGGCGTTGAACTGCTTGTTTGAAATTTCTGAATTCAAAGGCAATATTAACCTCTAAAGGAAAGATCAATCAGTTTAAAGAAGTACTCCTACCATATTACATTACTGAATCGTCTTACATCGGTTCAAACAACATATAAATCTCTCCATAAATTTGACATGTGATTGAAACAACAATACGTTAAGAACTTAACTGATAAAATCTTCTGTACAAATTGCTCCGCAGACTATAAATTTTGTAACTTATCGCTTTATTACTTTCTTCAAATTTTCCGTTAAATGATGTTTATAAAGGCTGGTGAATGCCTGAGAGAAATTGGTAAAATTTTACATGTTTGATGCACCCCCTCAAGTCAATACAGATTTTAACGCATGGGATTTGATCCTCCACGCTAAATTTACTTTGACTTTGATTTTATATCTGTACATTGTTTATTTAACCATTTACCTACTGAATTTACTGAATGGATATTTTTAGCATCCATTCTTGAAACCATCAAAAATCTATTTTTGGAATATCAAGCTCGTGAAAATATATGGAATTTCATCATGTTTTCGTGAAAATATATTCTATATAAAAATGTCCTCTTAATTTTATAACAAACAACTTAATTACAAATGTGCAAGCTCTGTATTAGTGGCAAAGACTTATTACTTTGGATTCCAGCAGGGTATTTATTAGGATTCATTAGATTTCCCTACAAAATATTAAAATTATGCATTCTTTTAAGTACAGCTGTATAGTCTCGAGGTGCAATGCTGGCCTAGCTCTATTATAAGTTACAAGAAGCTAACCATGTCTCCCTAAATCTGCAACAATCATTGAAAACTTTAACCAACCTAGCTATTCATCCCTACAGTTTGACCAAACTGTGTAAATGCGGTATAAACTGGAATTCGTGAAAATTAAGTGTTCCAACGTCACATTACTTAAACAAACGATGGACAACTTTAAATTATAAGCAGGTGAGTAGTGCTTTTCAGAAATTATATTCAGCATAAGCACAGGCCTACAAAAAACGAGCCAAATTTCTAAGCAATTTTATAGGTTATGGCCAACAAGAATATATATGCATTATTTATTATAGCAAACCATTCAAGTAAGTTATGTGTTGTATATCCCATATTTTTACAACTGTAGACCAATGAAGACCAAGTGATAAGCATGATTTTAAGTCGTGAAAAGTCAGAAATTTGTCTGGCCTGTCTTCACTATGTCTAAACATTGAAATCATCAATATGGCCATCCCTCTCCAAGAGAGAGAGAGAAAAAGAGACCACTAATTGCCTGTCTGCTGCCTATTAGAAGACATTAATACCAGTTTTCATGTTTATTTGAACAGACTATGAAATTAATTACAAGAATAACATCTTTGTCCAATACCGAAAAGTGGCAGGCCAAGAATGACGTATAACAAAAAATAGTCAATTTTTACTGCAAAATACTAGCAATTCTTTAGCAAGGACTGAGAAATCATTTTTTTAGCGGGCAGTACTTAATTCTTTAGTAAGGAGTAATCCATTCTCTAGCAGGGAGTTATATCAAACCTATAGCAGGGATAAATCAGTTTCTTTAGCAGGGAGCAATAGTCTTTATTCATCTTTTAGCAAGGAGCAATCAATTCTTTTAGCAGGGAGCAATCAATTCTTTTAGCAAGGAGCAATCAATTCTTTTAGCAGGGAGCAATCAATTCTTTAGTAGGGAGCAATCAATTATTTAGTAGGTTAAGTAGGTAACAATCAATTCTTTAGCAGGGAGTGCTCGATTCTTTAGCAGGGAGAGCTCAATTCTATCAATTCTTTATGCCCCGGTCACATATCCACGGATAATGCCACGGAAGAGCTACGGTCTAATCGTTCACGGATTACTACGGAAATGTGAAATTTCGTAGTCCGCTACGGTTCCAGTACGGACACACAACGGTATGAGTACGGAGTCCGACGGATTTACCACCAAAAGCCCCCGGAGAGACACGGATTTTTACGGACTGACACGGTTTGATACGGAGCGACACGAATCAGGACGGACGCACTACGGATACACTACGGTCTGCTACGGTATAAGCACGGGTTAGTACGAATAAGTACGGTCTGATACGGAGAAGAACGTATTGATACGGAGAAGAACGAATTGCCACGGATCTATACGGATTTAATACATCCGTCCACAACCTCTTGCTTGCTCATTTTCAAAATGCCTCAAAAGAAAAGAACACATAGAAAACGAATTGCAGAGTTCAATGATTTTGGCGGAGAGGACTCGGCATAATCGCGTCCGACCCCCGAGACACATCAGGTCCGATTAAAGTGAATTTCTTGAAGGACGCTGGATCCTCAACAAGTTCGGCCATGAGAGCCTCATACTAGTCCACCATCTCGTCTGTCTTCTCTTACCTGATTAGATATGGACTAGTAATCATTAATGAAAAATGTTGATCAATACTGCTTCTCTTTTAATTCTAAGATTTGCTGTTCATCTTACAATTACATTAATTATCGTGATTTTTATGTTTTAAAAATATGTAAAAAGCTTGTAAAATTAATCTTATTATCACTCAAGGGCCAGCCTCCGAGGCTTATGAGACACTTCGTTTTATGTACATATTTATTCCAATTTCACGATCCAATGTTTGTAAAATATGTAACATTAAATGTTATTCTATTACTTATGAATTGTAGTACGATATTGATATAAATTTACTTCTATGTATGTCATCAAGCAGCTCGACCACTGCCTCCGCACTCTGAGCCATTTCAATATAAAGTTGCAGCCAGTAAATGGCAATTATCATTTTTTAAATGTTTCCGCAAATATGTCTGTTTTTAACAAGACGGTAGTATTTATACCCTTGAAAAAGAACATGATACTTAATTCATCCGTACTAAACAGTGGTGGACCGTACCATTCCGTACTGTTTCGTGTTGCAACGCAATAAACCGTATGAGACCGTGCTAATCCTTGCCTCTCCGTAGTACAACGTATTACGATCGTGGCTTTCCGTGACAATGCCGTATTAATCCGTATTAAAACCGTAGCTTATACGTAGGGTAACCGTACAAATACGTAGTTCTCCGTACAAAACCGTGGAAATCCTTGACAAGTTGGTGGACTACGAATCAGTACGGACTAGTACGGTTTTCGTACGGACCAGTACGTATCAATACGGATTAATACGGACTAGTAGGGATACGCTACGGTTAAGTTTTCCGTAGCAAATTTTTGTGCATGTTCAAAAATTGTCAAGGATCGCTACGGATATACAAGGACTACTACGATTGATTACGGTTACAATACGGAGAGCTACTGACCAGTACGGGTAGCTACGGACGATGCCGGAATTAATCCGTGGCTCTTCCGTGGGCGTATTCCGTGAATATGTGACCGGGGTATTAGGAGGGAGTGCTCAATTCTTTAGCAGGGAGCAATCAATTCTTTAGCAGTAAGTTGTATCAAATCTTTAGCAGGGAGTACTCCATTCCGTAGCAGGGAGAAATAATTTTTTTAGGCAGGGAGTAATCAATTCTTTAGCAGGGAGTACTCCATTCCATAGCAGGGAGAAATAATTTTTTTAGGCGGTTTTCAGTCATGGAGTAATCAATTCTTTAGCACAGAGCACATTTAGACTAAATTTAACGTAAATCTTAATTTCATTTGTGTTAAAATTTTTAAACATAATTATTTGACTATAAATAAAGTTCATCACTTCAATATACAAGCTCTATTAACAAAGCATTGAATGGTTTTCATTTTATTCTTTTACATGTATTTACAGTGTTATTAAATTCAAAGAAATACTCAAATATTCAAAGGCAATTAACTATCAGAAATAACAATTATGATAGTATCAGTACATGATATTAATCACTTTTCTTCTTGGCAATAAGTAACATACACCGGGGAGAAATTGAATCTAACGATGAGATTACATGTTTCATACTTGCAATGAAAATTTATTTCTGCCAACATTTCCACATGATTCCTCTTTTTCATAAGGCAACCATTGATGTAAACTTTATTCAGCATAATATATCTTTGACATAAAACAATGTATGTTATGCCCAGGATTTGATCTTTAAATATGATACATATCAAAACTTTATAATATTATATCATTTATATATTATATTTCTGATGAAAATATGGTCATTTTGAACCCTTAGCTTGCTATATTGCTATAATGGATCTGTCTAGTTTTGAATTTGGAATAGTCCGTTCAAACATCAATGGATTTCAATATCAAAATACATAAATTGAGCTGCCAACAGTATAGAGCCTGGTCAGACTGCACAGATGTGCTGGCTGGCCTACCTCTCTACTGGTGGCAAAGTTTAATCACTCTTGGTTCCAGCAGGTGAAGGGTCAAATATTTTTAACTGAAGAACATGACATTCAAATCAATTTTTCTGTATTTCTAACCTTCTAAGTTGCGATGTCATGAATGTGTACGCCTATTCTAAAGTTAAAGACTTAGTAGTTCTCTTGGTTTTGTTCAAAAAAATTTTTATGCGTTTCACAGACGGTGTAAAATAAAAGAAAATTTGTAGTATTTACATAAGTATGCAATTCTCAATCGTAATTGGTGTAAAATTGTGTTCCCTTTCTCCAGGGGAACTAGTGGGAAACAACTTTACACTATCAAATCAGGCAATAGAATAAGAAAATTAATGGATATGCCTTTATTTTTGAAGTGACAACAATATAATTTAATGTAATTCTAAACAATTGTGAAAACTGAAAATCACATAGGTCAATATTTTTTTTTACAAGTCCAGGTTCATTTACCAGACCTGAGAATTTTTTAGGCACAAATTACGTAAATTTGGGGGGGGGCGGTGGAGTGACACCATCTATATAGTAAATTTTGACACAATTTTTGAGAGAACAGCTAATTCTATTAATATGGATTGCTTTCTTTACCAGACTGATTTAAAGAAGGGAAAAACAAGTTCCATTGTCAAGGAAAGGTACCAATATCCCAATGGTCATTCATACCTCTGTTTTAAGCGTAGATGTTATAATAGGTGGTTCTTTCTCCCATTTGTTCACCATCTGAAGGGTCTCCAATGTTTTCTGACTCACATCTTTAGTTTCATCTAACAGTGTACATTCATAAAACTCTTGTATATCTGAAAAAGGTAATCAAAATACATAACATTATATATTAATATAATTAGAATATATTTCATTTGTTCCTGTATATCATTTCCTTGCATATATATTTGGGAAATTATACAGAGAAGGTTTTATGTTCCCTCTCCTTAAGTTTCTATGTAGAAGAGCTGTAAGAACTATCTATTTGCTATTGTCAACATTAAGTTCAATTCCTAAACAATGGATATTATGTCATGAGATAAAGCTATATCAACATGGCATGATGTGCCTCAGTTTGTTCATCCATGTAGTCTGCCATAACTCCATATTACTGTATAATGAACTCAAATTTTCTTTTCCTACTCAAGTCCTTGCTCATAGCAACTAACAATCTTTCATTTCAAAGATAGATCATTTTCCATTATGCAAAACCAGAACAAAACCAGGGGCTTGAGTGGACAATTTCAGTTTACAGATCAAGGGTTGACCACAAAACTGTTTTCAGTCTCAGTTTTGCGGTCATACCTCAAGATTCACATACTTATAGGCAATTTAACAGGGCCCTCATTTCACTGAAGGCAATATACTGTAGCCAGGTCCTAATTTCAAATAAAATTCCCATTATTATATATAAGGGAAAATCTCAAACTGTTCAGAGAGCCCTGTATTGTTTACACTCGATGCAATTCAACCTTTAAATCATAAAAACCTTGATAACATAATAAATGACACCAACTACATGTACAGCTATCCTTGTAGGAAATTGACTCAAATCAATAAAATTTATGCCCATATGTTATCTAAAATACCCTTAAAAACAATCTGTGTTACTCCAAAATGTTTACCCACCAATATTTCAACATGTAAAGTTGACTGATGAAACTCCTTAACCCGAAATAGCTTGCCATTACTACAGCCATTATCTTTTTACTATGGGTTAAACAATATTATGTTTTTCACATAGTTTTAAACAACTGATTTTGGAATGTGGCCAGATCATTGGGGGGAAAAGCATACAATGAAAAACCCATCAAAACTAGGCAATACAACTCCTTTTGTGGATGTAAATATTTTAAAATTCAGGGCTGTTTCTTCTCGGTAAATCGACACTGAAAAAGAGATAATAACATACAGTACTACCTAAACTGTACATTGTATAATCATCAACGTTTCAATTTTAAAAGCGACTATTATAAAATGAATCATCCGAAATAATTCTGAAGTTTTAAGTTTAACTTCATAAATTTTTTACCTTAACTTGAATAAGTATTGATAATCATTTTACCTTAACTTGAATAAGCATTGATAATCATTTTACCTTAACTTGAATAAGCATTGATAATCATTTTACCTTAACTTGAATAAGCATTGATAATCATTTTACCTTAACTAGAATAAGCATTGATAATCATTTTACCTTAACTTGAATAAGCACTGATAATCATTTTACCTTAACTTGAATAAGCATTGATAATCAGAGCACAGAAATCATAAATAATATAAAAAAAAATAAAGTCAGGGAATTCTTAATACGAGACTTTTCCACGAAAGGAAAAAAAAAACAACAAGGTACTTTTCCATTGTTATTTCTCTTTAATTTTCTCCGCAGACATTGTCCATTTTGGTAGAATCGCCTTCATGACATATTTCTAGGGCAAATGCTACCATCTTAGGTAATAAACTTGGCAATTTTGACAGAAACACAAACAGACCTAAGATGCAGTAATGCATATAATAGTCCCTAGAGTACAATATAGTGTCATAGAGACTCAGCTCGGAATTCTTTCTCTCTCTCGTTAAAACATTATCTTAAGTCCAAAAGAAACAACAAGTACGCCTAAACTTAAGATTTAATTCAAAATCCCACAGTTTATGCTTGTACTTTAATCAATGAAAAACAAAATGGGTATTTTTGAGGTTTAAAATTATTCGTTCACTTAACAACAAAAAATTACAACATGTCCGAAACTTGAAAAATGTTGGTTTTTCACATCTAATTTGGGTGGACAAAACCTTAACCATTTTCACTTCACTTTGTATCACAATAGTTTATCATCAATATACATATACATACTATTTTAAAGTGATCTTTTATCAGCATTTGATTGTTCTTAAGTATTTCTATTATTAACATCTTAACTAATATCTTAAAATAATGAAATATTCAACTTTGTAGGTCATACAAACAATATGTACATTAGAAACTGACAAAATAGTACAAAGAAAATTTTATCACTTTAAAAGTGATGTCAATGGTTTGTTCATTTTTAACAATGTTCAGCAGTTAAGAGTATAACAATCAATAAAAGCTGTCCATAAGGAAACTTTTCAGTCACAGGGCCTTTTTTCACAGTTTGGGGCAGCAGCCCAGCCCTTAATTTTGGGGAAAAATTACACAGTATATTTGCAAAAGGGGAAGAAAAAACTTGATGTAAATTCAATTTTTGGGGAAAACTGCATGATTTTAAAGAAATTTTCTTTGGGGAAGCAGCCCTATACCGGCCCCTGTTATAGAAGGTAAAAAGGCCCTGAGTCATAACCCACTTTCACTTATAACCAGCACAAAACAGATGTGAAAGATGGTTTAAATAAGATCAAAGCATTAATTACATGAAATTGTGACAATTTTTTTTAGATTATTCAATAAGAGTCTAAAGAGTAACAATAATTTGCATAACCCTCACTCCTGCGGTAATGGACCTTTCCGGTGTTTACAGTTTTATGTTAATTGGCTAACTTGTTATCCAATCCCCACACTGAGATAATACATAGTCACTGGTTGACCTGGTTTGCACAAATGTTTGTGATACTGTTTGTGAGCAGTTGACCTAGCAATGAATGGAAAAGGTGTGGCTAAATGTTCCGCTACGAAAAATCGGAAAGGTCCATTTATCGTACAGGACATACTCATATGACTTACACAAGCATTGGCACCTGCTTCGTACAAAATTCATAAAATTCTGCAGTCATATCCTTACAAAATACATCTACTATTGCGTGTTAAAACAGACAGATTATGTTTCGACTAGAATCCATTTAAATGTTTAAAATAACATGAATGAAACTTGAGCAAAGATCAATGATCGCTCAGAAAACACGTCACATTCTAAACCATGACATTTGTTCCAACGCAAACACTTAATTCTGAATCGTACAACATGACAACAATACCTGCGATGAACTGTTTAAGATCAAAATCCATTTTTTTATTTTTATACTAATTATCAACGCCAGAATTTTTTTCTGTTTACATAGAAAAGAATTATAAATATGTTTAATAAAAACATCAGTAATTACTAACAGTAATACACGGAACTGTATAAATAAAAATCAGGCCTTGGCAACAGGACATCTGTAATTTATTTGTCATCATAACTAACATGTACATCAAAGAAATTCTGCAAGCTATTTAATTTGCCGTCTTCATATAGTCGACAATAACTACACAGGGACGTGTAATTATCTAGTTTCATAATGCAGTATTATTTCCAACTGGTCAGTGTTTAATTAGGTTTACAGGAAGGAAGGAATATTAATTAAACATTATTGCTCATCAGTTATGACCACCTCATTTCACCCTTACATATTTGAATCAATTATCATTACTCTTGTTGGTCCATTAGACTTCTCCTGCCCAGACTTTGAAGCAGTCCATCTTTTGCTTCTTTTCTTCTTCTTTTTTTGTGAAGAATTTTGACAGGACTATTCTAAATTTAAGCATCTTTTGATAAAACATACATGTAGTTGGGCAAGTTCGTCCCACTCTACACTAGATGGCATAATAGGCATTTCAATTTAATTTTTTTTCGTCATCAGCACTCAAAGAGGAAACCAGCAAACAAAAATGAAGGACTCTACATTAAACTTAACCATTCTCTTCGCTGTAATGGCTGCCATGGGACAAGATGGATACTGTTCTATGCAAGAATTAATTACAATTACTAGCATGGTTTCTGCATATTATGACAGCACTTGACAACTCGGGAATTGAGCTCTCAATTTTCAAATCTGTCATATATAGCAAGTAGAAGATCGATATTCACACTAAGACCGTTCAGGCCAATCACTAGCCCGTTAATTGCTGACCTAGAAACTACAATCCTTACCTTAAACTGTAATTAAACACGTCAAAATAAATCAAATGCTTCAAAATAAATTATTATTATACTTTATCAATTAGACTCTATAGTTGCCCTGACTCATGACCTTTTGAATTGAAACTATCCAGTTTGCTTATAGAAGGCTGGTCGATCTGTCAAAGTGCCACCTTGTGCATGAAACAACACACAGGAGGTCTCAGTGGTCTTCCTCCATCAAGAGGTTCACAGTGTTGGTGATTCATTACCAAATAATTCTCGCTCCCGGAACCAGAGGTTCAGTATACCCACTTACCCTCTCATCTAATGCCTTATGAAACAAGCTGTTCAAAACATTCAGCTTTTAAAGCAAGTTTTTCTTTGAATATAAGACAAATCTTCATGTACATAGTACGGTAAAAAGTAATTTTTCCTTGAATTCTCATACATGTAACTATTAAGATAATTGCAAATTTTTTACTTATTTTTCATGTATATAAATAGAATTGAACATGATTTTTGGAGCCACCCTCCAAGAAAAAGTCATAAAATCTGGTTTTATCACTACAATCTCATGCTTTCTTTAGACAGTGTTGCATTAAGCGACCAGTTGGCATCTCTCTTAATACATGTACATGATTGACTATTTCCGTCTTTAAATAATGTTAAAAAACATTTGTTGTTCAAACTAAGCTTCCTTTTACAATTGGACTTGACCTTGTGCATCAAAAAATCCTTGAAACGGAAACTTACTTAGTTTAAATGTTTGATTATAACAAATTTTTGATAATACATTTATGAGCAGTAAACAGATAAAAAAGTACTTCAAATCAAACCATAACATTATAGGTTCTTTCTTTTCCTTGTTTAAAAACAGGTCACTTGTTTGGTAAACAAACTTGTACGCAATAGCTAAAAATTCATATTTTGCCAAAATTGTGACAAACAGACAGACGGACGAAACACACCCAACACAACATGCCCTACCAGTATTATTGATCTAGAGGGCATATAAAAATAAAATGTATGTTTAAATTCCCAATATACATGCAAGTCTTTACTCATCATGAGGTTGGAAGCTTTTCACCCATCTCTAAAATAAATGTTTTTCCCCCATCTCTAAAATAAATGTAACATTTAATATTTGTCTAAAAACTAAAATATATCTTTCTGATATTAACCAGTAACCACATGGTTTGCCTCTTTCTTAACTAATTAAAAAACCTATTTAGAACAAGTTCTACCTGTAACATACAATATAATGTTTACTGAAATTGTGGCTTGCAGAGGAGTTTTATTTTTTTATCTCGGTATTTCATGAACCAGGAAATAAAATCACAAACTCAACATGATTAGTGTTAAATGTTTTCAGTATTTAGGATCAAGATGTTCTTTCGCCCTTAACTAATGGATCCCCCCCCCACTCCCTCCAGATTCACGCTTACAACTTTCATGAACATTTTGAAAATAAATTGATGTATTTAAATGTAAAATATTATGAAGTGAACAAAGAAAGTAAATTCACAAATTGCAAAAAGTGCCAACAATCCTCGTAAAATACCCCCCCCCCCCAAAAAAAAGGGTTAAAATATCCAAAATTAGACCTTACCCCTACAGAAGAAATGTGGTGATAAATATTGCAAAATCAGTCATTAATTGCACATAACAGTATGTAAATCATTACTTGAATCTTGCATGTTTTTACTTTTCTTAAAATCTTAGTATGTTTTGTTTTTTTGTTAATTCTCCTAAATATTTTAGCTCATTAGGAGGCAAGCAGCTTTAAGAAAAGTGGCTTTGAACAGGGCTGGCAAAATCACATTTTGACTAACTTGTCTTTTTCATTTGAATCATTTCTTTTACTTGTCAGTATGATATTTATAAAGTTTTTGAAAAATATCATTTGTCCGTAAAGGCTGTGGGACAACCTGGCAACTACGGACAATTGATTTTGCAGGCCTTAAGCTTGCTTTAAATAGGATACTGCAAAAGAAAAAAGTAAATTTTGGCCCTGCTGTTAAGAAGCAAAGAAATTTAATTGATGACATAAATCAGTTAATCCCTAAATATCAACACAGAGTCATCTTTTCCAATACAATCTATTTGAATCCACAGAAAAATTCTACATAGGCATTTAAAAAAAGAATCTGCATTAGCACAAATTGTGCAACTAACTTTATCATAAACAACCACTTTGAAAATTAAAAACAAACACCATATAAAATAGAAAAAAAAAGTAAATTTTCTGCTTGAACTACTATTATATGCTTTTTATAAAGAAAATACCATAAAAAAAACAAAAACTTCAAAGACATGTGATCAAATTTTTATAGAATCAAATGGTGCTTTCAACACAAAGCCCAAGAGACTTCCTAAGTCAATCTTCCATATTTCAATAATCAAAAGAAAGTTGTTTTTATTCTTGCCATATGTCAAACATGATAAAAGACTTTTAAAACTCCACTCTCGATTTACTGTCATAATACAGTGGCACGCCAATCAATTGTTTCTGACATAGTAAATATACGGAGATGTTTGCCGTAATAGCAGTTGCCAAATATTACACACTTTATTACCAGAAAATAGCAGATAATCACAATCGTATAAAGCTTTCTTAACCAAATATTATTCTCATATTGCGCGGGGTGAAAATAGGTCCTTTTAACTATTTGTTTTAAATAATGCCAGTTAAAAGAGATCTCGGTCCTTTTAAAGCTGCATGCCTCCAAATGAGCCAAAATATTTCAAGAAAATCAACCTTTAGAAAAATGTGCTAAGATTTTAAGAAAAGTAAAAATATTCACAATTCAAGAAATATTTTACATGTTATATGCAAATAATGGCTGATTTTGCAGCATTTATCACCATATTCCTACTGCGTTACTAAGGCAATAAGGTTATAGTTTGCATATTCTGCGCCTTTTTTTTTGTAATTTTCATAGATTTTAAGTGTTGTAAGCAATGTGTAAATTACTTACATTGTTAATGTGACAATATTAAACTTTTGGATACATTTACAAGAAAAATTCATGAAAAAATAGCAATGCATCTCATTCTGGAGGCACGCTGCTTTAACTCATTGTTTTAAATAAAGCCAGCTGAAGAGATCAATCCGGTATTTTTTATTTCATGATCAACGAAGTCTCTTATGAATCGCAACAATTTGGGACACGCTCAACTGTGAGTACAATATTTACGCTGGATTGGGACAATATCCATTAAGATATGACAATCTATTGCGAGACTCGTTGCTCTGTATGAAGTCTAAAGGAGTTTTATAGAATTTCCTGGTTTATGTTTATGAATAGACAACATCGCTGGGAATTAATCCAAAGCTTACGGCAGTTTCCTCTGGCAATATACTTTATAGACCCAATCTGACTAATTTATAAATCTATGATATATTAAACATATCTTATGGTACTAGAGGTATTATGATCTGAGATCAGCATTTCGATCGGAAAAAAAATCAATGGATTGTATTTTCAGGCATCTTTCTGAAGGTCACTCCTAAAGTTATACTGTTTGTTTATATTATACTGATTTAAACAACATTTCAGTCATCTAGATCTATGTACAAGAGGACAATTATTGGGTACATATATATTGCTTCAAGATTCTGTATATACATGTATATCATATGTATAACCACCTGTTATTGACAATTTATTGCCAAATTCTTTACATCCATTTCTTTAATCATCAGTGGTAGATGACCAAACATATCCAAATTACTTCCTGCAGCCATGATTTTAACTCAACTATGTTTGGTCCCACAACACCAAAAATATGAGGGTGGGCATCTGATAGTCAACCAGAAAATCTGACAATGTTGGCCCTTAGTCAAATGTATCACTACATTGTATTTCTGAAACTTTTCAGACATATAAGATTTATATACAGTCTTTATCAAAGTTACTTTCACAGATAGTGCTTTCTGTAAATTCTAAAGTAGTCAGTGAAGTAATCACAAGTATTTCATGCAGCAAAAAGGTGGTAAAGATCTTCATTATGTGTCAATCAAATTTCAAACTTCACACAAAAAGTGTTCACAGCGATCATTATCAAACAGGTTAACTCAGCTGTCTTTGTAATTCAGACTTTGATTCACATGTTTTTGTAACTATTCATAACAATCTAGTTCAAATCCCACCATAAATGTTGAAAGTCTTGGTGACGAAGCAATTCCTTTAACACACAAGGTATGATCCAAAATTGTACAATTATCTGATTCCTGTATGATCCAGATTGGATTTTAATCACTGTTCAGCTCTGGCAAGTTTTTTAATCACTGTTAACCTCTGGCAAGTTTTAATCACTGTTCAGCTCTGGTAAGTTTATAATCACTGTTAAGCTCTAAAAAGTTTTAAATCACAGTTCAACACTGGCAAGTTTGTAATCATTGTTCAGCTCTGGTGAGTTTACAATCACTGTTAAGCTCTAAGAAATTTTTAATCACTGTTTAACTCTGGCAAGTTTTTAATAACTGTTCAGCTCTGGCAAGATTTTAATTACTATTCAGCTCTGGCAAGATTTTAATTACTGTTTAGCTCTGGCAAAATTTTTAATCACTGTTCAGCTCTGGCAAGATTTTAATCACTGTTCATCTCTGGCAAGATTTTAATCACTGTTCAGCCCTGGCAAGTTTTTAATCACTGTTTAGCTCTGGTAAGTTTTTAATCACTATTCAGCTCTGGCAAGATTTTAATCACTGTTCAGCTCTGGCAAGATTTTAAATACTATTCAGCTCTGGCAAGGTTTCAATCACTATTCAGCTATGGCAAGGTTTTAATCACTGTTCAGCTCTGGCAAGTGTTATCACATATAAACAAGGAAGGAACATTCCTACATGGATATACTTTACATTATTAAAATCAAATCAACAACAAAGGGAATAAAATGCTTTGGCTAAAAGAGATTTTCATAAACCAGTTGAAAAATAGCAGAAGCTGATTAAAAGCAATAGGAACTAACAAAAGCCTTTGACAGTAAAAACAGAAACCGTACCTACTTCTTACATAGTGTTATGGGACTTAATATCATACAAAACAAACTTACCTAAAAGTGCTTGGAACAATCTACTCTTGAATATTCTAATGACTCTTTCAATAGCATTCTTAAGGGGTTTATCCTGGGGTTTGTTCAACCTTGTGTGGTAGTCTTCCAACAACTCAAGAGCCCGATGGGCATCTGAAAGTATATAATAACACAATTATCAATTCAACCAATAAAACTTGTTTATTTATGTATATGTTACGTTATTTTAGTTTGATTGTGTTGGAAGCTATAAGCAGCTAAAGCTTATTGAAACACTCTCGAATCTGTTCCTGGAAGCAACCAGTGATTAGCCAATCGAAAAATGGATCGTGAAAGTTTTATATGATGTTTTGATTGAACAGTTATTGCAAATAATAATATAATTTTATCATCCCCACTACAAGTGTAATTTTGATCAGGGCTTTCACTTTAGGCAAACAAGTAAATTGCAAAGACAGTAATTAGGCTAGGTGTATGTATCTCACATGTATGGGGAAAGAACTTTGGGCTAAATATGCAAACCTATACAACCAATACAGATAGCCACTTCCTTTCAGCAGCTTGATGAACTTGAATTGAAAATATAAAAAATCACAATTTATATGTCCAAAAAATAAACTTTAGTGATCAAAATTAGTAGCCAATTAGCAAGTAGCCAATCAGCAAAAAGAAATAACTGAATCTGATTATTATTCTCTTGGGATAATAAAATTTCTAAATGTCCAATTTGCAATTTTACAATTTTAGAAATGTATCAATTTAAGATATTCTTATAAAATATTGCTTCAAAACATGCTTCTGAAAAAGTTCTAAGTGATTGAGTATGAACATTTACATGATGAATAATAATATTTTGTGCAATAACATTTTATTATCTGCAATATAAATATATATAATTTCAGATCATGTATTTTCAAACTTGACAGCAACATCAGTATATAAATAGTTCATGAATGATTTGTTGTTTTAATAAAACTTATTTTAATAAATAAAACTTTAATATTTTAAAGCAGATGACCTCCAGAAGAAAAACTGCCGTCTGGGTAATATTTCAAAATCCCCCCCTCAAAAACATTACAAATTTACATAGTTGAAAGAAATCGAAATGACACTTCAAAATGTTCATATTTTAACATTATTGCTCTGAAAACAAACAGTTCGCTTTTCCACCAACGGGAAATACCTTCTTTTATTATACCACGGAATTCTTTCATCCAGGTTTTTTTCTAGTATCACGTGGTCGTACAGTACAATATCGCGACCTGTGCTCAAGAACGCACGGAATCCGGGATTTTATCAAACATATAGGGATACGAATAACTGCTTTTGTTTTTAGATTTGTAGTAATTCATGGCACTAAAATTATAATTGATTAATTATTTTATATGTATGTTGAGGTCAGTGGCTTTAATGCATATTTGTATTTTGTAACTTGTTATACTGACTGGACATCACATTATTTAAATAAAAAAAATAATAACACAAACAACAAATTTATGTAGGTCAAAAGGAAAACTACATTCAATAAATCAGAAATTACGGGCTTGTTATAGTGCTATGGGTTTATGAGCAATTATGATATGCCGTTATCTCAAAGCAACATTATTTAAAGGACTAAAGGAAATGCCAAAAAGTAAAATTATCTCAAATCAACATTATTTATAGGACTATTGTAAAGGAAAACTAAGACTTTACATGAATGAAATGTTGCAGAAATAAAGTGAGCATAACAATCCAACTTTTATTTTAAAAGAGAAAAGTAATTATGCATCACTCTATACCTATATTGTAAGTAGGAAAGAAATTGAATCCTAGGCTCGAGTCATTTAAAATTTGGGTACGAAATATACGGGGGCGAACTTGGTATTCCGGCTAAAAATTAGTCAAAATGATGAGATTTTCGTATAAACTGACAAATTATTACCCATAACTGATTCTATTTCATTTACAAGAAGGCAAATTAGTAAAATATACGTGACTCATCAACAACATACCTTGTTTTCTAACTGGCATTCTTGAAATTTCCGAGATAATTTGCATGCGAAAGTTCACACCCACTTTTTTAGTTCAACTGCACTGATAACTTCAAAGTTGTCGTGCAGAAAACTAAACGTATTTCTTCAACAAAATATCTTTTCACTCAAATGCAGGGAAAATATATTCAGAATGAACAGCATAATATTTTAAAACTTAGCCAGAAAAGTAGGCCATCCGAAATTTCATTTCAATATGGCGAACGGCAAAATAGATTAGGTCACGTGACAAGGGAGTAGCTAAAGATTTTAACAGGCCATAATAGCTGAAATTTACTTTGACAAAATTGAATATCATATCGATGAATTGTAAATGGCTTCAATATGTCAAATATGGAAAATAAGATATATTTCATATTTAAAGTACCCCAGGTGAAAAATACAAAACGAACTGCTCCCTGTTACAGGTGTGTCTCAAAATTCTTTACACCTGGCGGGAAATTTTCAAATACAATTCCATAGTAAACGACGATCTTAAGTATCATTATGAAATTTATTCATGTTTAAGTCTGTACAAAACGCTTACACTGTGGTTACGCCAAAAATATGTGGCAATGCAAAAATATATAGACTTCAATGGTTGAACGGGATTGAAGTTTAAGTAACCGCGAATTTTGAATCTTCTTATTTTGGCAAAATATCTCTAGCAATCTGACAGTCTATTATTTGAGTATACAAATTGATCGCTAATGAATCTTATCATTGCCAACTTATTTAATATCACTCATTCATATTCTTGAAGATGATTTTGAAGATGATTTTCACTTACTGCACCAACTTGAACAACAAATAGTGGTCGTAAAAATATTGCTTACAAAGTTCTATGTCTTTTCCAAAGCAATAATTCGTTACATGTCGTTGGTAAGTCTAATTAAGTAGTTAAATAATTATTTTCATTGCATGTTTAAACAAATGTGTCAACATTTTTCTACACAATATACAAAAGGGTTGAGCGAAAAGTTAGCTCAATATTACCAGGTCCTCCTCCACACAACATCGAATACAATTCATTTCATGAAAATTGCTTTAATAGTTCACCTGACCACATAGTGGTCATGAAGAGCTTATCATCGCATGTTGTTCGTCATCTGACGTGCTTCCGTTCTTGCGTCCGTCTGTGCGCAAACAATTTCGTGTCCTCAGTTGTATTACCAATAGATGACGGTTTCTGTCTCGAACCACATCATTGGATTGCAGAGTTATGGGCAATGAAAGGGGAAAAATAGGTAAATCAACCTTATATTTGATGGCTGAGTTTATTTTTGATATGATTGGAACCAAAGTTCCTTAATTGAAATTACAATGTTGGTGCGTGATGGAGTTATGGGTCCTAAAAGGGTCACAAACAGAGATATTTAGCCATGTCTGCATGATAAATGCGTTTATATCAACCAAAGTTACACAAAAACATTGATCAGCAATAGAGCTTAGTTCGCTCTTGAATTGACAGGTAAAATTGCGGGTCCATCGATATGGGCTTCAAATAAAGGTGAAACTATTGATTCATTTATATTTTTTCCTGTAATCTATAATTGATCATCATTTTACACAAATATACATGTATTTGATTCTTACTTGAAAAAAAAACAGCACATAGGACAAAGTCTTTCTTGAGGAGGATCACATTGACCTAACCTGTACATTGACAATAGATTACATTTAGGCGTGTCACGTAGTGTATTACAGTATCAAGCGTCGCCATTTTTATATACAACACATTCGGAATTTCTAGCGTTAGTATTCGAAAGTAAGCCAGTTGTGGTAATCTTTGATTGTATCAAACACAATAATAATTACCTATGGACTTTCAGGAGAAGCTATAATACCTGACTTGCGATTAAATGTTTAATTAGAAGTGATCAGTTGTTTTGTAGATGATTTTCTGTAGCACAGATGGATCTCTTCATTGCATAGGAAACTTGAATTGAATTTTGACTTTGGAGCCATATCTCAATGAGTAATTCAATAAAATTCGTAAAGGTTTGTTTGAATATTTAGCATCGTTTTGTGGAAACTTTGTAATTTAGTTCGTTTTGTGGCATTTTCTTCACAGGTATTGCATTTTAGACACACCAGGACCAACGCCGGAAAGAATAATCTGTCCATGATAGGGGCAAGAAAAATTGATACAAAAATTGATAAATATAGAGCAAAGTCAGGAAGGTAGAATTACAATCCGATTTTCTTTAAATAACAATAATTTAAATGTTATTATAGTGCTAATCTAGACCAGTTATTATTTGTCTATTTGTTTTACCAATATTAAATATTGAAATTCATATAGATTTAATCCCTTAATTATGCCGAAGCTTTGATTAGATATGAGGGCATTAAAGTTTAGGTATGTGTGGCTAAAAGAAATTATGTAAGGCGTCTCCCAGTGGTATTTCAACCAAAAATTTAAAGGACCAACTTCATTCACTTAAAAAATCTAGATTAAAATAGGCATTATTCATAGTAACAAGATAATGGTGTCACAATCACTATACAAATGTATAATTATCTTATTGAGGACAAAATTACGACCATCTTGTTCTCTCATGTGGATTCGTGCGTGTTGTATAACACGGACTCGATGCAACGGAAACACTATAAAAAGCAGTCCTAAAAGTAAGCATATCCCACCATTGAAAACCGGAAAAAAAATAACCAAAATAACATTCTTTTTCTTTCTTTTCTTTTATTTCGTTGTTGCGTGAAACATCACGCCAACACAGTATATGCCATATGCGACTTTGCAGCTTTACTGATGAAGGAAGACATCAGGCGCCCTTCCATGTATTGTTTCAGGCACGAACGGGCACCTGAGTAGAATCACAGAAGTTCCGTAAACTAGTTTGATAGCTTCATAAAAATGAAACAGTCCAAAGTCCCTGTCCGGATTCGGACCCACGGATGTGAGGGACATGTGGTTTGAAGTCAAAGATCTTAATCACTCGGCCACGGACGCCCAAAAATTCAATATCTAACGTACGTTTTAGAGAGAAAAAAAGAAAATCAATTAAGTTTTTATCAAGAAACCTTCCTCAATCAGTACTATTTGAAAGGTGTTAATTACCCTGAAAAATCAGCCTTTGAAAATCGATAGAAGAATAAGCTAAAAAAAAGATTTAAGTGCAGAAGACACAGACAACTCTCAAACTACAGTAGGCCTGCAGAAACCAGTACTTTCCTCTTGCATCTGACATGGCCTGAATTCGTTGTGTCCACATTCTGGGCGTTGACGTGCAGCCAAAATGACATGTGTGATGCTGCTATGTTATTGACACTTCCATGCTACCAAACATGCAGTATATTTGCGTTTCGGATACGTTTTTGACGTTACCGTGTCATTTACGACGTATTTACGTTGTTGCCACTTTCTGTTACTACCATGTCACACAAATGACGTACTTACGTTGTTGCCACAGTATACGTGCCTATACTATGTCACACAAATGACGTATTTACGTTGTTGCCACATATTGGCGTTAGCAATTAAACACGGATGTTTTTTGTAACACAACAATCATGAAGTTGATAGATATCACCCAGTGACACGTAAACATCGTTCGAAAGAACGCAAATAGCTAGGTTGAATACTCAAATATTAAAAATTTCATTGCATAACTTAAAGTACAGAAAACATTTTCGTTTTAATTTAAAATGGGTCTCAAAGCACTGAAAAAATAACAGAAACAAGCAAAACTTCCGCAAGTGTTTCAAAACTAATCTTTCGATAATCAGAATTATATATTTCAAAAGGACCGTAAAAATTATATTTTTTACAGTGCTGGGCAAAATATTTCTTTCCATTTGTTATCCAGACGGTATCACTTGCTGTCAGGACACATGCATATTTCTGTCATGTATACAACTCCTTCAATAAATTCAGTATTTGACCTATACTCATTCCATATCCACTATTTATGAAATACTGCCTCGTTCTCGGCCATCATTGTGACGTTTAAGAGTTTAATAGCAACATGCTGATAATGTGACGTATACGTAACCATGAAACAAAATCCTATGACGTATAAACATTAATGTCCCGTTATAAAGACGTTGATGTGAATGTTCTTTTTCACAAATGACCAGATGTGGAACAGACGCCATCTGTATATTTGTAAATATAATGCCGAGTTAAAAGAACACAATTATCTCATTGACACACGCACATATAATGTTTTATCCTGTCACTTGTATCAATTTCGGCCCGATAACAAGGTGCCGTATATTTTTACTGATCTACGGCACTTGATCACGTGGTTTGCCGGACTTCTTTACAGGCCGTTCCAGTGGTATGAAAAAAACTGTCGTTAAATCTTCTGTGTGTAGTTTAACGAATTTTGGAAACGTTGATAAAACTTTGTTTGTTAATTTTATTTCACTCTATAATTTTTCAAGCGAAGTAAAAATTATTGAAAGTGAAATAAATGTAAAACTTAACTCGTTTGCGACATTAAAATAGCGTACAAATGTACTTGATTTGATTGTTTTGCACGTGCTGTTTGGCGCTACATTGTGACGTCACGTAAACAATACTTTAAACGTCTGTACAGCGTTAACGACTGAATAAAAGATATTAGTGTTCGAATTCATTTTCTTAGTCAGACCATTTTCTTTCATTCTAGATAGTTTTCACAACAAAATTCGACAAAAAATTGTTTTTATTTATCACATTTTTCAAACAAAATGGCGCCTTCAATGTGAAAATACACAGGGAGATAATAAGAACGGCGAGTGCATTGTGGTAGAATAATGCACGCTTCGGGCCTTCTTTGTTTATATAGAAACATTTTCGATAGTGTGATTAAAGGTAGTTTGCCTAATAAAATTCTTTAAAAAAAAACGGTGACAGGATAAATAGAATAATAGGTTGGTGCCGTGGATGGAGAAAGTTTATCTGGCGAGGCGGAGGAATTTATTGGGTTCGCCTTCGGCTCACCCAAAAAATTTATTGGGTTCGCCTTCGGCTCACCCAATAAATTCCTCCGCCTCGCCAGATAAACTTTCTCCATCCACGGCACCAACCTATTATTCTCTATGATCACGCTGACAATAAATTCGGATTCATCAAACTGATTTGCAATCATGAATGTGCATGCAAGTCTATTTTATCGACGTACGTAATGCTTCATGTAGCTAACGTTATATTGCATGATTTAGCTTTATTACACATTTTTGTATTTTATTTATATTTATAAACAAAAACTTATGGGTTTTAAGGACAGAAGAGTAAACAAACAAACAATACAGCAAATAATAATAGAAACATGGCATGGAAGTAAATAAGTAAATAAAAAAGATTACCTAATGAAATTTCAGCATTATTGCTTTAACAAACATAGCTAGATTAAATAAAGTATTCATGTTATCACTACATATAATACATGTATTGAGAAAACACACATGATTTAGTAATTAACATTGACAACAAGTAGTGTCATGGGTTTTCATATAAGATATACATGTATGTTATGAATCCTTCATTCTTAACTAATTTTTAAATGTATCGTGCTAATTCAAGCAATGTAAACTTGTATTTTTCCCCCGTTAAAATGCATTTTTACCGCTTTTAAGAATTTTAGGGGAGATTATAAACATATGGCCCACTATTAAATGCTATTCAACGCTTCCAATTTTAAGACCATTAATTTGTAGGTAAGCTATACAAAAACATACAAGTATATATGATATAGCATTTCTGTTGTTTTAAGAGAAGTTACCCTAAAAAGTACATCAATTTCATGTGGGTATCAGTCACCTAGACTTACTCAATAAAAATTAATTATACGTATTGTGCAAATCAATTTAATTGATTATGGCAAAATAATTAACAATAGAAATCTATCTAATTATATAATTTATGTCGTTAAATTATTACCGTACACAACCGACGGTCTCTTCGGAGACCGGAGACCATTGATTAGTAGACTACCAATTACATGACGGTTGAACAGGATTTACTCTAACCATTGAACAAATTTTGATCATGTGACTTGTTAAAATGGCGGCTGCAAATGACACGAAACATATGACACAGTTTATGAACTAATTGTTCAAAGCAATTTTGTGACAGTCAGGTATTTTAAAGCAGTCTTAAACATGATGAAATTTTCAAAAAATGTATCGACTTTCTTTTTGTAAATAGATTTTAATAATAAAGGAATCCTACAGTACAGCACAGGTAAACAAACACAACTAAGTTCACAACTGACACAAGAAAATTTAGCCTTTTTGAGATCTAAAAATATTTCTAAGTCGCTTACCATATACTTTATGAATATTATATATTTACAAAGAATATACATAATTAAACTTATTTATCAGTTTATATGACATATTCTAGATTCTACGTAATTTTTTCATCACCCAATCAACTGGATCCTACTGTCATTTTGATCAACATAGTCTAATATAGCTCGGGTTAGTTCTGGCTTCCAAATCTTTATAAGCCCCTTTGTAAACATTTTTTCTTTCGTCTGTAGTGGAATTAAAGTTTTGGATCAGACCAGTTATGAAACCTAGCCAGAACAAGACATGATGGTGAAACCCTGTTTTAACCGCAAAAATAACCTTTTCCTGATTAATCCCTGTGAATTATCCAATAATAATATTATAATATTAACATAGATCTAGACATTTAAATTATTAAGATATTAATTCTTCCAATGTCTATCTTCTTCTGTAGAAGAGGGTTTTTGCACCCATCTGTAAGTCATACATTTAATATTCTGGCACATAGTAACAAGGCGCAGAGGGGTCAGGAGGCCGGGGTTGGGGTTGTTGGTTACTAATACAGTATCCAGAGTACATAAATTTGGCTAAATGTAGCATATCTCCTTGTGGTTCACTGAAAAAAGTATGTAAATAATGCCACTAGAATAAAAATTGGCCCAACCTTGGTGGTCAATTAGTTGATGCAGACTTATATATATATACCAGAAATCTCATTTAAATCTTTGGGCAGCAAATCGATTAATTTAGTTTGACAAACTTGAAAGTAGAAAAGTAATTTTCCAGTCTGCAAAACTTTCAGTTTACTCGGATGGGCTTTTCAAAACAAGGCTTGGAATTACATGTTTTACCTGTTTAATATAATTAATTGTTTATAGGAAAATGTCTGGAGAATCGGATGTACATGAGGCTGAGGAAGCTCACGAGGGAATCAAACATGAGGCAAACATCATTGCTGTAGATATAGGGACAACCAGTCTTCGTAGTCATGTATATGATAACCATGGGCATATCAAAGCGTCTAGTTCTAAAAAGGTTTGGTTCATTTTCAAATGTCAGAAAGCAGAACTTACAGTTAAAATACATGTATAGTCATTTGCTAAAAAAAATGTTTAATATGGCTGCAGAAATTATCATCTTGCTACAGGGTTTATTATAATTTTGTTTGAAATCAGAAATCACATGTGTTTGGCTAAAAGGAATTTTCAGTCTACAGGGCAAACGCTGATAAAGTTTGAAAATGATAGTTAAAGTTTTGAGAACATTCTGAGGAGAGTAAATTTTTATTATTTATTTGAGGATATTATTGACATCATATTGTCTCTATAAAATGACTATAAAATTTTCATATTTTCTTTTATTATCCAATGTATTACAGTTTTATCTCAGTTTTTTTTTTTGCATTAAACTTTTACTTTATAGATTGAGTTGATACACCCAAAGCCTGGGTGGTCGGAGATGGACCCAGAACTTCTTTATAAGCAGGTTGTTGCATGTGTTGATGAATCTATAAAAGGTTTGGTATTTTTTTGTTGTTTCACTTATTTTAAGGTAAGACTGAAATCTGTAAATATTTAAATCACTTTCAAGTTTTTTTTATCATAACTAATGAACAAACAGTACCAGCACTTAAGAAACACTGTCATGACCAACAAGGTCTGGAAACTATGATCTCGAGTTGAGATGCAGACACCAATAAGCAATATTGACCTTTGTTAAACTGCTTGTTTAAAAGTTATTTACATGATTTTTTCTCTTGACTTGATTTTCATGTTGTATGTTACAATTTACAGCTGCTGGGATTAAAGTAAGTGAGGTGACATGTCTTGGTATAGCTGTACAAAGAAATACTTGTCTTACCTGGGACAGGTAAGTGCTTTTTTCTTCATTTCTTTCTGGTTTATACAGTATTAGCCTTTTCATATTTTAATTTCAATAATTAGCTTGCTTTGCTGTGTCTTAACGGGAACTTTCAGTTGTTATTTAGAGGGGTTTCAATAAAACAAAAATTGAGCAACCACCTGTATCTGATTAGATGACACTAAGGTGGAAATTGGACCGAATTTATCCTCGTTATCATTATTGTTTAGCATTCAAAGAGATGTTGGCCTGCTTAGATCAGGGTAAGGGCACCACTGGTTTGATCCTGGGGTGTGACCTGTCATGTTATTTTGTTATTTATATATAAGTCATTCATATATGGGTTTTGTTATAAGTCATATGGGAAATATTGTTTTTTGTTTGTTTTTTCCAGTAAAACAGGTAAACCATTTCATAATTTCATAACCTGGCAGGACCTGAGAGCTAGAGACTATGTGAAATCATGGAATACATCACTGACCTTAAAGGTGGGTTCCTTTAAAAGTTGTGCAGGCAATGTCTTGTACAAGCTGTACAACTTTATATTGCATCAACCATTTACACTTTTTGCTTGAAGTTTCACAAATTCCTTTGGGATCATTTGTGAAGGTCACTTATCAGGACATTGGTGGTTCTTCTCAGGTGCCAGTTCGTGCCTGAAATAATGCACGGAAGGGCAGCTGAGGTCTTCCACCACCAGTAAAGCTGAAATGTCACCAAATGACCTATACTGTGTTGATGTGACGTAAAACCCAATCAAACAAACAAACAGAACTTATCAGGGCCATAGCTCTCATATGGATATTGACTGAAATTATTGCTGCTGTTAAACTTTTAATAAAAAAACCCTTGTGCAAGATCAATTTTAAAAACAACTGAAGATAATCTGTTAAATCTTAAGACATGCTTTTAGGATCAAAATTGAGCCTCACTGTCAAAGACACACAGCATTATGATGAGTTTTGATTGAGTTATGGCCCTTGGTAAACATATAAAATTCTTGTACTTTTTGTGCAAGATCAATAAAGACTTAAGTACTTAAGGTTTTCATCTGAAACTTAATACATGTCTTTGGGATCTTGATTGAAAGTAATTTGTAAGACCCATAACAGTAGCATGAATTTGGACCCTTTGTGCGCTTTAAAATTTTCTGGTGTCAAACAATCTTAAAAAAAACAAACTCATATGTATTTACTCAAAACTTCATACTGTCATTTGGATCAAAATTTAAGGTCATTTTGCAAGTCCCAAGACTTATGTGGATTCTTACTGAATTATGGACCTTTGTGAATTAGGGAAATTTCTGGTTAAACTTTTGCTTGCAAAGGCAGTCTTGAAAATTTCTAAGAAAATCATTTGAAACTTCACACATATCTATTGTTGGTCAGTTAGACTTATATGTCATGTGTTTGTCTGAAATCTTCCTCTTTGAGAATTCATACATTATTCAGGCTAAGTGTTAGAATAGTGGAGCACCCTGTCCTACTTGTAGCTCTTGTTAATTCCTTTATGAATAGTGTAACATTTAACATGAATTATGAAACAAAGAACAATATTAAAGAGTGCTTACTTAACTAAATGAACAGTGACACATTGAAAATACTCTTTGGCTGTATTTTTAAAGAAATGAGACATGTGTATATCTTTTTACCTACATGTGTAGGTAAAACTAGAGGAGCAGATGTAATACCCCTTATCTTGAGGTGTGGAAAAATAGTTCACCATTATAAATATGAAATTTTACTTTTGTATTTACAGGCATTGAACAGTGGGTCTAAAGTTCTGCATACATTTACAAGAAAGAAAAGATTTCTATCAGCAAGTGTGTTAAAGTTTATGTCACCACAGGTAATGCTTACAACAAACAATTACTATAATTTTATAAAATGATTATGTTATCAATATTGTTGATTAAAGATATACAAGATCAATTTTGATATTTGAAAATATTGATAATTGCTACGCAGTCTCTTTGTAAATATAAAATAAACATCATTTTCATGTTTTGACTTCAATCAAAGTAGATATGTTACGTTTTTAACTCTACATTCTATAGGTCCACACTACAAATTTGAATTCCAACTGTCTGTTTTTCTACAACAATTCACTCAAAATTTATATGTTTAATTATTTCATGCTTGGATTTATTTTTTCAGGTTACACTGAGATTACTGTGGATATTAGACAACATTCCTGATGTAAGTGATGATGACCTCTATGCTTACAATGTTACCATAGAAACACACTCTTTCTTGCAATGCAAAACTTAAATACATGTACAGGATAATTGTTTGTTCCAAGTGTATATAGAGTACCGATATACACTGTAGGGACCACAGTATTTTCATAGACAATGTCACTGATTTTTGGCCTCAAGGTATAAGATAATTTTCTAAGCTCTGTCTCAAATCTCAGGATTTTCATTGGTCAGTGTACATTTTCAGTTTCTGATAAATCAAATACCTGAGATCTAGGTCTGAGCCTAGAAAAATTTCTTTATAGCCTTTTACTCAAATATACTCAAGTCATTTGCCCATCATGACAGTTGCTTCAAATTTTGCTACAAGTTTTTTTTAAAATGCACAGAAAGGCACCTGAGGTATTCCTCCACCAGTAAAGATTAAAAATTGCCATATGACCCTTACAGTATCGTATGACTTGAATGTCAACAAATATGGAATATATCCTACAAAGAATATATATTATGTTAGAAATTCAAATTGAACTTAAATTACAAAAATGAAATTAGCTCACAAAACCAGTTGTATAAGTGCTGTCAATGCAACCTCGGTTTACACTTTTGTCAGTACATTGCAGTAATATATGTGCTTTTTCTTTGTTTATAATGACCGCTGTTCTATTACAAAAGAAAGCTACGAAATATATATTTGCTTATCATTTGTTTAAAATGTTATGAAAAAAGGCTATAAAATATAACTGTTTTACATTTGTTTATATAGTTTCCACATAAGACTATAAAACTATGACTGTTTGTTTGTTTATTTATAAAGTTACGAAAGAAAGCTTTAGACGGAGAGGTGAAGTTTGGTTGTATAGAATCATGGTTACTATGGAAACTAACAGGAAGTCAAGTACACGCCACAGATTTTTCATGTGCTAGTGCTACAGGATTATACGATCCATTTCTGGTATGTACATTACACTTTTTACATATTTATATTACACTTTCTACATTATTATATAATGCTGTTATCACATACCTGTGCCGATTTTGCGATTCCATAAAAAATGGTATTGCACGGCCATGCATATATTTTGATGTGACATCATTTATGTTATACAAACAAAAATTAGTGTAAAAGGGCACTAAATGTTAGCATTAGGCGCATCAATGAAAAGTGATTCTTTATTTTGGGTATGTAATAAATAGAATATTATATTCATGTAGGTTAATTACTGAAATTATTAAACTCATTAAATAAAATAATATTTTGCCCCCCAGGGGCTTGCATAATTCAACTCGTTCAATAAATTCAATATTGAACAGTATACTCATTCAATATCCTCTATATATATTTGTTTTACACTGTTAACACTGTTGGCATCACCTGATGTTCCAAATGAAATCATAATTGGATCTAATCTATCTTATATTGTTTATATTAATGTATTTACATGTTTATATTTTACTGTTTACATGTTTATGTTACATTGTTTACATGTTTATATTAATTTACAATTTACATGTTTATATTTTACTGTTTACATGTTAATATTACATTGTTTATAATACATTGTTTACATATTTATATTACATTTTTTACATGTTTGTTTTACATTGCTTACATGTTTTATAACATTGTTCACTTGTTTACATTACACTGTTTTCAGACATATATTTTATATAGAACATTGTTTATACTATTAGAATTAATTTTTAGGTTATATGGGATAGAATTGTATATACATTATGTTTGTAGGTGTCATGGAGTACCATTGTGTGTGGACTGGTAAACATTCCCATGAATATATTCCCGGACGTTTTACCCACCAGGTCAGGACAAAACCATTGTTTCATTTATTTTCTCTCAGTTTTTATTTCATTGCATGTGATTTCTCATAATACTGCATGTTTGTAAAAATATCTGGGTGAAAGTGATCCCTCAGAAGCATTAAAACAGCAAAATTACATGAAAATTGCAGACTCGGTTTGATCGAGTCTGTACATAAGGGATACTACAAAAAGTGCAACATCCCTCATGCACCCTAGCACGGCTTGAGCGATACTCAATTTTCAACATTTAAAAGTGATGGATTCAATGAACATAAGGGCCAGAAAAATATAACAACACTGAAGTGAAGTACGGAGCAACTTTTTGCAGCTGCCACACGGCACTTGACACCTGCTGTTGTGATGTATAAATGTCTGGAAAAAAGCGAACCCTTAACCAGCAAAATTAGATGAAATAAGTTGATTTTCATTGGACAGTCAGGATGTTTATAATTATTATCTATTATATTATCTGTATTATATATCAAATCAGTTTTATTTCAATCATAGAAAACATATTGCACCTGAAGTCATTCCTCCATCAGTAAAGCTGAAACCAATGAAAAATCCAGCATTAAGATATCCCTTAACTAGCAAAGCAAATTTGTCAAATTAATTCTTCTGATTTTGCCAATATTGATTGCAAAATTTTGAACATCAGTCGGCTAACCATAATTTTTTTTTTTTGAATAGAGAAAAGTAAAATATTATTATGTTTTCATTCGAAAGATATAAGCATCAAAGTAACTCAGATACATAAACATTTGTTATAAGTTTTCAATAATTTAATATGTAATATTTCAGTGGAGTATTTGGCCATGTAGATGAGTCTGTGTTTGGCAGCAGTATACCAATAACATGCTTGGTAAGTTTTAAATTATTGAAAGTATTTATCAGCAGTCCCTTATTGCTGTACGTTTGACTCCTGCAAGAGAATTTAAATTTTTTATTGTGACAAAGCTATCAAGTCCTTGATTATGGCAGATCTGTGGTTCTTTTCCCTGGCTTTTACTCCACTTAGTTTAACATAGTTATATAGGGTTGATTACACTAAAACCTCAAAACTTTCATGAACTACTCCCAAAGTTCTCTTCCTGGAACTAATCTGTACTGGTGTCATATAAGGGAACATGGTTGTAGCTCAAGTGGGACTTGAACCTTCAATTGAGAGGCAGATACTTTAACCATTAGACAACACCTGTCCTGGTTTTCTGACTGAAATTTTGCAAGAAGTGGCACCTGAAGTCTTACTCAACAACCAAAGGACATGAACAGTGTGAACATGATTTAAAAGTAAAAAGCAAAATGAATTACCCATCTAGCTTTGTTGTGTATTAGTCTTTGCCACCAGTCTAAGTCCAGGCCGGTCTGTCCATCTGTGCCATCTGCGCATTCTTACCAGGCTTTTTACTGACAGATAACATTAAATTTTCATCTTGATCCCCCCAAATTTGATAATGAACTGTTCCAAAAATGAAAGCTGGTCAAGTCCATTTAAGAAATTCAGCAGGTTAAGAATTAGCCTTGTTACTTTAAGATTTAATAAATGAATTAATTCTAAACTTCTTATCTTAAACAAAGAAATAATGATATTTTTATCATGTTAGTTGCTTTTGCAGTTAGCAGAAAAATTTAGTTTTTAATCATCAAGTTCACTCACATATGTACATTTGTTTTGAACAGGTAGGGGACCAAAGTGCGTCAATGTTTGGAGAATGTTGTTTTGATGTAGGGGACATTAAATGTACTCTTGGCACCGGAATGTTTATTGACCTCAACACTGGAGAAGAGCCACATGCTTCAATAGCTGGTAGTGTGCCTTTTTATATCCTAAAAGTTTTTCACAAAATATATATAACTGCCATGTTAGTCATATTCTCTCATTGTCCTTTCAGCCACAATAAGAATTTTTTTTTATATCTGTACTTTATCCTTCTTAAATGCTGTCTGAAAACTTTTGAGAAAATATATAGTGACTGAATTAGCCATTTCACTCATTCTTTTGGCCACAATTTGAACCTTTTCTCAAAGAACCTTTCAAGTCATTATCAATGCTATTGCAGTGTGGGTGTTTTTATTGGAGATTTCACCCTCTGACTAACCACAAGGCATGGCAGTTATCGGGTAGTTAAAGTCCCCTCTGTTCCTTGGGGATTGCAAGCCAGGTTGTATTTGACATGTGTATGGTCTTACATAATGTGATGTCTTACTATTGTAGGATTGTACCCTTTGATAGGCTGGAAAATTGGGGACAGATTAACATACATTGCAGAAGGTATAGCTGCTGATACAGGAAGTACTATTCAATGGGCTGAACAAATAGGTATATAAAAGTGTATGACTTTCATGTGTTGTCTACTTACAGGTCTATATCCTCTCATTGGATGGAAAATAGGTAATAAGATGACATATTTAGCAGAGGGCGCTGCAAATGATGCTGGCACTGTGATAAACTGGGCACAATTACAGCTGGGTATTAAAATGTCCATCCCTTTAGAAACTGCACTAAAAACATGTCTAATTGAAATATGTGATCCCAGCAAAACTGCACTGAACACATGTCTAATTGAAATATGTGATCCCAGCAAAACAGCACTGAAAACATATCTAATTGAAATATGTGATACTAGCAAAACTTCACTTTACACATGTCTAATTGAAATATGTGATCCTAGCAAAACTACACTGAACACATGTCTAATTGAAATACATGATTCCAGCAAACTGCACTGAACACATATCTAATTGCAATATGTGATTCCAGCAAAACAGCACTGAACACATGTCTAATTGAAATACATGATTCCAGCAAACTGCACTGAACACATGTCTAATTGCAATATGTGATTCCAGCAAAACAGCACTGAACACATGTCTAGTTGAAATACATGATTCCAGAAAAACTGCAGTGAACACATATCTTATTGCAATACATGTATGTGATCCTAGCAAAACTGCACTAAACACATTTCTAATTGAAATATGTGATCCCAGCAAAAGTGTACTTAAAATGTGTCTAATTGAAATATGCGATCCCAGCAAAACTGCACTGAACACATGTCTAATTGAAATATGTGATCCCAGCAAAAGTGTACTTAAAACGTGTCTAATTGAAATATGTGATCCCAGCAAAACTGCACTGAACATATGTCTTATTGAAATATGTGATCCCAGCAAAACTGCACTGAACACATGTCTAATTGAAATATGTGATCCCAGCTTAGAAAATAAGTATCTACAAATTATTAAATATAATCCAAACAAAGTAGGCACAAAGCAATTCTCATTAAAATGAATTGAAATATTTGATCTGAGCAAAACTGCATCCTTATCCAGTTATATGGCATTACATGTATTTTCATTTTGTGATACTGTAACCCAATTTATATTCGCGAATACAAATTTTTACGTTTTGCCGAGGTCGGACATATTCGCGAATATTAATTTCCACGTTTTCTTGAATTCCGTATAAAAAATATTCGCGTATTGGAAAGTCCGATGGGGCTGTAAAATCTATTTGCCTACTATTAATCTTCAATTATTGAGGTCATTATTGGTGTCTTAAATGGGATTAACAATACCCTAGCCTTATGTTGTATTGGTCAGTGAATTGTGATCACAATTCAGCAAAACATTTTCTTTATATATGTTCATTTCTGAACATGTCGTTAAAAGGGTGGTTGATAAAAAATAAACCCTCAGAATGCAGGGATGTTTCAGCATCGTTTTTGCCTGATCATGATCTGGAAAGCACACCAGAAAAGAAAAATATGATTAAAGCGGCAAACGAAGCTGTATTTGATTTGAAATTTTATCACCAAATCTCCAGTTAGGGATCGAACCCACGCTGAGAAAATTATGTTATGCGAGTCCGCAATCTAACCAACTGAGCTATACAGGCTGTTAAGTTTGACGGGTAAAAATCGATACTAGTATGAAACCATCTTGTATTTCACTGTTTGTAATTATGTACACCCAATACCCTTTTGTGATGCTCGATAGGTTTATACCACCTTTGTCTTAACAATTCACTCAAACAATTATTTTATAGGATCCAAAAAACAATAGCCTTTTGTGATGCTCGATAGTTTTCCCAGTTTTGTCAAACGATTTATTCAAACATTTAATTATGAAGAAACTTAAAACTGACACATGTTCCGTAAAGTATCCTATACAGAACGTGATTAACAATAGGCCTACTAGTATTTCATAAATTGTATTAAAATGTGGATGTTTATTTTGATTGCTATATTGACATAGAGTTCTTTTGATATTTATGAAATAGTAGTAGTTTACTTAGTTTGTGTTGTTATTGCTTTATGGCAATATTCATAACAATTCATTACTTCCTTACAGGTGCCCGTAAAATTCGAATATATCCGGTCAAGTAGCTTTGCATGAACAACGTCTAAAATAAAAATTTCTCTCCAATTTATTCACGAAATCGTGCGGACTTATTCGCGCAAACAAATATTTGGCTTCGTGGCCATCCGCAAATAAAGCGAATATTAATTGGTCGCGAATATTAATTGGTCGCGAATATTCGTTGGGTTACAGTATAAGCTCAACTTTCTTTAAATACAGTGGAGCCTTGCTAATCTGAACCCTTCTAGTCCACAATCCTTTCTTATCTGAACAAAGTGTCTGGTCCCAATTTTATTTGTCTTTTTTCAATAGTAAAAAATCTTTTGGATCTGATACCTGTCTACTTGGAATTCTGGACAATTTTTTCAATTTTTGTTCTTATTTGACTCTAAAATTAATCTCTTAGATCCGAACAGATTTTGCAAAATGCCACACCTACATTCAAAATAACAAAAAATTGCACATCTTGCTGGTGTAAACATACACCAAACTGATAAGATTAACTTTGTTTGACTTAATGGGTGTATATGATCTGCGAAGATGTGAAAATTACACTTAGCTTGCCTTGATATCAACTATAATTGCTTAATTGATTGTTTTTCAGATCCTTAAATAAATATTATGATAATATGCAATAGAAATATCTTTTGTAATGTTAATGACACATGATTAAGTAATGGAAATTAATGGAAACTGTCAGTGAATTCAGATAAATGCTGAATCGGATAATAGTAAATAACAATTGACAAATGCTGGTACGAATTGTTTAATCATGTCTCAGCCTCCTGTTTAACATCGTAGGTTAACTTACCCTTGAGGACATTTTTGCTTTTTTATTTATTTTTGTATTCACATTTATAAAAATGAATGAAAAGAGATTGCAAAAATAAAATATCTTTATTGCAATTTTCTTTATTTAAACTACTCTGTCAATAACACAAACAAACATGTAAAAAAAACCCTTCTAATCGGGAAACCTTTTTAATGCGAACTTTTCTTCTAGTACGGACGAGTTCGGATTAGACAGGTTCCACTGTAAAATAGTTAAATAACAGTTAAAAGAGACTTTTTGTGAGTTCATATCAAACATTTTAAAAGAGTTTTCTATAAATAATTTAATATTTCTCATATGAAACATACAAGTTACAGTTTCATATGTTAGTTCCATTATATCATCTTCTTTTCTGTTCTTTATCTGAACACACTGATTTGTTCTACACCTTTATCCAAGAGCCTGCACTGGCATGTCTTAATGGTTTTAATTTCGTTCAAGACAGGGTAATTTATTGTTATTAGACCTACATTACAATCTATTATTCTATTATAGGACTGTTTGAGGATGTAAGAGATACAGCATCAATAGCAGAATCTGTTGAAGGTAAAACTAAAACCTTATGTAAAAAATCAATATTCTATGTCATAAAGCAGAATCTTGTGTCATAAATCTAATTCTTGTGTCAAAAATTTTGTGTCTTTAATCAATGCCGTGTGTCAATAAATAAGATATTTTGGCATAAGTCAAGGTCCTGTGTCATCATGCAAGACCATTAATCAAGATCTTGTATCTTTAATCAAGGCCCTGTGTCATTATACAATATAGTGTAGCGTAAATCAAGGTCCTGTGACATCATGCAAGACCATAAATCAAGATCTTGTGTCTTATGTCATTAATCAACATGTGTCATTAAAGAAGATATTTTGGCATTAATCAAGGTCCTGTGTCACCATGTAAGATCTTGTGTCATAACTCACAAACATGTGTCATAAATCAAATGCCGTGTCAAGTGTCATTATTGAGTATTCTGTGTCATAATCTTCATTTTGTGCCATAAAGCAAGATCCTGTGCCTTAAATCAGTATTCTATGTCAAAAATCATGATCATGTATCATAAATTAAGATCCTGTATTATAAATGCAGAAAAAGCTAAGCAGTCTGTAATTTAAACTTGGCTTTTTGCATATAAACTAAGCAGTTTGCACTGAAAGCTAAGCATGTTGCGGTATAAAAACAAACCAGTCTGCATGAAAAACTAAGCATTCTACAGTAAAAGCTAAGCAGTCTGAAGAAGAGAAGTAAATGTTGGAGATAAAATCCTAGTTTCATGTGCTAGTTTTGTTTCTTATAATTTAAAACACAATTATTTAATTATTCCAGACACAGATGGCGTTTATTTTGTACCAGCATTCTGTGGACTACAGGTATTTTATTTTATTTAAACTTAAAAAAACTTTAATCCAAAGTAAGAAAAAAATTCAAATATTACACTTAATCAGAATTGTTTACACCTGCCTACAGCTATCATTAGCCAATTTGATACCGGAAATCAGAGTTTTCCTTGGAAGCTTTATTGATATTTTTTTGTGACTTTCCTTAATAAGAGCATACCAAATAAACAAGTACATTTTGTATTTGATACACATTACTGAAACTAGTAAGAAAATGAAGTTAAAATTATACATGTATCTGGTGTGTGACATGTACAGTGAAACCTGTACATCTTTAAAACCGCAGTGTCACAAAGTAAGACTTTATTTTTCAATTTACCACTCTAGAGCAACACTCAACTTCTTTGTTTACCAAGGAGATTTTATTCTACAGAGGTTGTACTGAAGCTTCTTGAGGTCTTACCCTAGCTCCTTATTCAAATTTCTTGCTTAATTATTAAAGAAATTATATTTGTATATTTTTTCAGGCACCTATTAACGATGACAAAGCAACAACATTAATGATTGGTATGACTCCATCAACAACAAAAGCTCATCTAACACGTGCAATCCTCGAGTCCATAGCTTTCCGATTTAAACTGCTGTACGAAACTGTCCTCAGTGAAACCAAGATACCTCTGTCTTATATCAGGTAGGGAAGATTTTAATTGTAACGAAAAATAAAGATTGTGTCACCAGGTGAGAAAAATGTGCAGCCTGCAGGGGACTTGAACCCGGGACCCTCGGAATACCACTCCACAGCTCTACCAACTGAGCTACCTTGCCGCTTACGCATCTTCCCTAAATAGTGAACAGTTCTGAAAAGTAACAATTAGAATTATCTGGAATTATCTTAAGTTTGTACTGTTTGATACTTACAGTGTTTTGTGTCATATACGGACAAGTAGTTTTAAACCTAATCCGTGGCCCATAACTCTTAACAAGTCATGGATTTTGACAAAACTATGGCTTTTATTGAACTTCTCCATTATCCTGGCTCTTATTTTACTATCAAGTTCTGAAAATAATTTGTGCATGCTGTCCTATTAACAGATGTTTTATATTTTCCTATTTTTTCAAAAACAATTTAAATGAAGTTCTCTTCAAATTTCTAATCGGTTACTTGTATTCACTGTTAGGGCAGGTAAGAGTGACAGACTGAAAATAACTTTCTCTGAATTATGCCCACTTATACATGTATATTCTTTGCTTTAATTATACTACAGTCAACTATCGTTATCTCGACATCGCATTTCTTGATATTTCGTTATCTCGATGAAATTTTGAAAGTCCCGATTTCTTCCTTCTTTATCTATATTGGAAATATTTGTTTATCTCGATATTTTTATTTCGATATTTTCAGTATCTCGATGTAAAATTTCAGCCCCAACAGTTATTTTCACACTATTACCCTTTGTTTATCTTGACTAATTGTTTTCTTTCCTCTGTTCCCTTTAGACGTGTGAAAAACACAAACTAGACGATAATTGCTCAATAGTGCGTGTCATAATGATGATTGTGTTTGTAACAAGTTTAGCTGTTTTTATAAAAGTTAATCTATTTAGCGTTTTGATTGACGTATTTCCAAAATGAGTGAATTTTGCATTCTTTACAAATTTTCGAACACTGTATCAATTCATTATGACTTTAAATGTAAATGAAATAGTGAAAGTATATAAAGGCTATCGTTGCAATGTTTTTTCACAACATCACCACCAAATCAATCAGTGGTCGAACAATCTCGAGAAAGACCCGATAAATAACCCGGGAGGATATCCGGATCAACCAACCTGAAAACTATGTTTTCACTATATTGGTGTATTACTGAGTAAACCTCACTATGTTTTTTTATCACAGACACCAGTATTTTCGCTGGTAAACATCCTCTAATGTTACTTTGTTAAATATTGACTAGGCTTATGAAAACAAGACATGGGGATATCATAGTTTATTTGACATTAGGTATGCACAGGTCTTTTGTAAAAATCAGTTTCTGCCTTATTCAAACCCTAGTATGTTTATCTCCACATTTCGATATCTCAATATTTTTTGGATGGTCCCGATGACTTTGAGATAACGAGAGTTGACTGTATATACAATACTGAGGAAAGTGGAGCCTGCTGTCTGCAGACAGGTCTTGTTACAATATTGAGTGACTTATGGTGATTTATGGTGATTTCAGGGTGGACGGTGGTGTTTGCAATAATGACTTTCTGGTGCAATTAATGGCAGACCTCACAAATCAAGTTATAAATAAATCAACACAAACAGATAACATGTCCAGTCTTGGAACAGCTTTCTTTGCTGGCTTGGCAGTGGGTAGGTTTTATGAAAAATATTCTGAAGACTTTATTACATAATAAAGGCCTAATGCATGTATACTAGGCTTAATGGGGGTCCATTTGCCATTTCATGCAATGAGAGTACAAACCCCCAATATAAAGGCCTTAAAAGTTCAATTTTCGTTTTATACTGTAAGAACTAGGCTTAGGTAAATTTATATATGGAAATATATAGCTAATGTTGTGAATGCATGGACATATGCTGTGCTTTGTGCTTTGCTATGATAGAAGCTAAGAGAGAGATAAAAAGGAATCCTTAAAGACAGCCTAAAACATCAAAAATGAACATGTTGCAGGCTTAGCATTGAGTTTGTTCACAGACAGTACTGAAAAGTGCAATGGTACATCCATGTCCCCCTAGTCCCAGTTTCAGGAGAATTTAACATTTAACATTGAAATTGTAAAATTTTGAATTTAGAGATATCTGTAGATGTTTGTTATTTTATTTCAAACCTAAAGGGGGAGCAAATGCATTTCATCGTTTAAGACTGAAGAAGGCGTTGAAGATGCATAAAGACATGGTTTATGAGAAATTTGATGGAAAAATAGTAGATTTGTAGCAATGAGAAAAAAATTATTTTGTGAGATAACTTTTGATCAAGGTCAATTTTAAGACTTAAGATCTTTATGAATTTGAAACAGTTAAAACAATAATATTAAGTTCTGCTACATGTTATTGAGCTATCTTGTTCTGTATGCCAATGGTGTCTACCAAAGTCAGGTCAGTTTTTGCCTTTAATGATGTACTAAAATAAACCTCTGTGAAGACTTTTGAAAATGACACCAAGTTATTTACATATACTGTGCTGATATAATATAGACCAAGGGAAACAATCATTTTCATTAAATAAAGGCAATGATAGAGAAGAGCAAATTTCGAATCTTTATTTTGATGATAAATTAATAACAATCTAGTTTATTCTTTAACTAATAAACACTTTTTTTGTGTGCAAAATTTGATGTCATTGTTTATTCGCACTCATGTTATTGGTTTGAAATATACATTTGTGCTCTTTTTATCAGGTGTATGGAAGGACGTTAAAGAGCTAGAGAAGATTCGATTAACTGAGCGTGAATTTCATCCTCAACCGACTTGGCAGAAATATAAACCAGTATTTCATCAATGGGAGCGGGCGGTGAGCAGGTCGCAGAAATGGTACGAGGAGTCGTGACCACTGGCACAGGGAACAGACGACATCTGACAATGCTGATCATACTAATTTGTGATTTTTTTATAAAAGAGGTTGAGTAATAAATTTATTTCTAACCCGGTGGACATCTTAAAAGGAGGCAATTTAAACTTACTGTTACAGCCACATGAATCACGGGTGCATAGATATTGAAAGAGAAAACATTTTATGGAATATAATTATTTCTGTCTCATTTGCCACATCATTATTATTATTCTTGAGGTGCTAATTTCTGTGCTTTTAGTGGATAGATATCCAGGAATGTAACATCAAACAACATTGTATTTTGTTTGCTGTAAGATTATTTTGCATTGCTTTATACATGTAAATGCATTTTGCTTTTTTTTCAAAAAAAGACAATCAACAAATTTTAACCTCAAAAATGTTATTGAGAAAACCACGGAATTACATGCCCACAAAATTAATAAATTTACAGTATTATTTATATGTAAGTTTTTAATATAAGCAACATTTGTTGCAGTAAAATAGTATAAAATGCTTTGATATAAAATGGTTATATCTCACAAAATGTTCCTGTGAACATTTTTAATCTTTGTAAGAACATTTCAAAACAAGGCAGTTCTTTCATTTGATGGCCCTAAAATCACTGAATTTATTTTATTATATTTATAAAAATTCTGAAAACTCAATGCAAAATGTTTGTCAAATTACCAAAAAGGTGAAAGTTAATTATATGTATTAGCAGTTTGAAAACTGTTCAGTTGAAGCATTTCTTGTCTGAAATACCTCAAATTAATAATGAACTGTTCCAAAAGTCAAGGAGGACAAATCCATTATATAAATTTAGGGGAATCAGGGTGAAAGTTAATTTTATGTACAAGACTACATTGTAAGGTGTGCAGTTGAAGCATTTCTTATCTGAAATACCTCAAATGAACAATGGAATGTTCCAAAATGTTAAGTCAGGATCAGTTCATTATACAAGGTCAGTAGGGTAAGGGGGGAAAGTAAATGATATGTACATGTATTCGGGTGTACTGTTTGTTTGTAATTGTTATTTTATCATGTGTTGTCATTGAAATATTGTTTTGTTTGTTTTTGTTACTTTTTGCTGTTGTTTGCAATTTGTATATTGATTTTCTGTTTTGTGCCAAAGATTTTATTTTATGAAAACTTGAAATGTTTTTAAGATGAAAAGAGGGTATTTTGTTATTCAAGTACAAACATATATTGTAACAATCAAAATATTTACGTTACTGCATTTGTATTGCAAATTATATATACATGTAGTGTATAGGTCAACATATTTGCAATGCAAAATGTCTCGTAATTAATCAAATATAATTAAAAAAAACTTTGATATGACAAACAAAAAATGATGGATGTTTACCAGTTTAACAATATGTGTTGAAGTAATTAACTGTACAAAACTTTTGCATTCATTAATTTATTTGATGGTTAAAGTTCATGTGAGTGCATTAACTGTAGTATATCATGACATTTATAATGGTTGTAGTTCATGAGGGTAGTAATAGCCCATATGTTTATCAAAATGTGAAATATCATTTGTTAAGTACTCAGCTAGATAAGATAATCTTTATTTATAATCTGTTACAATATACATGTTAACACTAGCTATAAAAGCTATTTTTTTTTACAAAACAGGTTATACTTTAACAAACAAACAACATTTATCAAAAATCAGATTAAGAGACTCAATTGTTCTCATTTGGATTACCTTAAATTACGCAAATTTTATTCTTTGACGGATATTTGGGAAATTTATTCATTGAAGGATATTTGCGAAATTTATTCTTTGAAGGATATTTTTGATAAAGCATGATAAAGTGTGAATTAGATAATGTAATAATGTAGATAATTTTTAATGAAAAACTCAATGTTGAATATAAACCACAAATATTGTACAAAGGTACTATATATAGTGTTATATGTCTGAAATAAAAACTTTGTATGCAAATTTATGTGTAGTGAGTGTCATTTTATGATTTGTTAACAGTGAATGTTAGTTAGTTTTTTATTAACTTGTTTTTATGCAATATATACATGTATATTGATCTCAAACTATTCGCAGATATTGTATTTTTAATCAGATGAAAGTACATATGTATGTGTCAAGAATTTTTATCGAAATTTGATAAGTTTTTAAAGTAATAAAATCCAGAAATAATATATTCTCAGCAGTGATGTTATTGATAAATAAATCACTGTTTGTCACTAAATTAAATCACTGTTTATGGCGTTCAGTTGTGAGGAACTGTATTAATAGATGCACATCTGAATAACAGTGATTTTATTTAGCGATAAAATCACTGCTTGGGATATATTATTTTGATTCTAACATGACATTGAAAAATAAATGCTGCCATACCTGATATCAAGCTTAATTGTGCCTCATTTGTTTCAGTAGTTATTTTCAGTGTGTCGCATTTTTTGATGACTATGCCATATGCCTAAACATATATTATCAACAGTTATTTTATTGCATATTTATACACAATTTCGGTCCTTCTTGTAGGGAAAATGTAGGTCATATTAGGATAATCCTTTGCATTCTGGGAACAAAGAATACTTGCCTATGTCACAAGTATAGAGCCTGTGACCTTGATCTTTAAGCTGGTGACCTGATTCTTTCATGCAGCGTATCCAGACTTTATACTGCTTGTTGATCGCTATTAGGTCTTCCCAATCTTTCCACTTCGCTCATTTAGGAGGGCATCGGATTGGTTCGATCCATAGGGAAGGCAAAAATTTCTCCATTACAATTGATTCTGCACATCAAGTTAAATGGTCATTTGTCTCTCACTGCAGATTCAGAAATCATTTAGGATAAGTAGTCAGTAACTTGTAGAGAAATTGGTAATTATTGGTTTGATATGATCCAGGAATGTCTATTTAGTGGACCAACTTGGGAATGTGAGCAACAATGTTAAAAAAATCGGTGTATCATCTAAACAAACAGATTGATTTTAGTAATTCAATATTGAAATCTCTTTAGCTGCTAATAGACTGTGCCAATTTCAAAGTCCTCCTATCAAATTTATCTTGGAAAAGGTTAAAAAGCAAATGTATGTTTTGACCAGAATTTTTTTCAGCATGGCATGAAGCTAAAACTGACTGCTTGTACAATTTATTTTAAAAATAATTGATGCTGTGATGTAATTTTGTAAATTTAAAAGTGAATTGTACCTTACTTTAGAAATTGTTACTGAAAGATTTTAAAGTTAGATAACTTTATTATTTTAATTGTTTTCTTATCAGTATATTGTTTTATTATATCTACAATTTTCAAAAACCATTTACCATAATGGATATAATAAACAGCCCTCTTATACAAATACTTCCTAGATGTGGATTTTTCAACATTTTTTACTTATCTTATAACTAAAATTTGCTTTTGGGTGTATATTGTATAATTTTATAGCAAGTTTGGCTATAATCTACTTAACATTAGATGTTTTGATATTGCCTATGCCATTGTAAATTGGTGGGACCATTAAGAATACAATGACCTCACACTATGATTAGTAAGACCATCAATGTGGTCTTACTTTAGATGGTCTTTAGGAAAGTGGTGGTCTTATTCAGCCTGTTGGCTTTGCCACTTAAGGACCATAGTTCAAGCCTTACCTCAGTTACAAACATGTGTTTTCATCATTAGACATTATTATTGGTAATTTCAAGATGCAAGCTTTTGAATTGATAAATATATAATTTATATGTTTTCACAACTGTCTGTTCTTCAATAAAGTGTTTTGACACTATAGAAAATGTTGCTAGAAATTGTGATCTAAAAGTGGACTAACAGATTTAATAGTGAAATAACAGAGATCGCAATTTTGGATCATTGAAACAAAGAACGAAACTTTCTATTCTTTAAAACATTGGTACTAAATTAAATCATTTGGGGTTGTTATAGGGAGGTTTCTACTGTTTATCATTCTGTTGCTTACTGTTGGAAATAATCAATGGTGTATGATAAATGATGAACATTTCTAGTGTTCATAGATAGGGATTGTATTTTAAATTGTTCCGGTGATAAGTTTATTAATTAAGAATTATTTATATAAGGTATATACATGTCAGATTCATGTGTCAGACATTCCTTTCCATTTATGAACATATGTCTTATCTACATCATGTACTAGTATAAGAAATTATATATTTTTGGAGAAAAGGGCTATTAAAGTATATTACAATGTACTAATAAAATTTTGGAATAATTTTATATTTTCAATAAAATACTAATATTGAAGATGTTCCTTGTCTGTATAATTTTTTCCCCACCTGAGCACAAAGCTCAATGTTTAGATTTTAGCTCACCGGAGTACAAAAGTGCTCAATGGTGAGCTTTTGTGGTGGCATGATATCTGATGTGCATCCTTTTTCATTGTCCTTAATTTTTTTAAACAACATGGAAGATTTTGACCAAACTTCACAGAAATGCTCACTAGGTGGAAATGTATCCAATCAGATGCTTAAATAGGTCATAGGAGCTAATAATAGACTTATGATAAGAAAATTATATAAAAAAACAACTTCTTAGCTTATATAGGAGAACACATTTTAAAATTCTTGTTACCCAGATTTAGAGATTTAGCATAAAGCATGGCCTTGTGGTCCTTTACAAAAGTTTTAGAGAGTCAAAATTTACCCCATCCTTGAAGTAGCTTATTGTCTAATTCCTACATATTTGGCATGTAGCTTTCCCTAGTGGGCCACTAAAAACTTTTTAATAATAATGCCCTTTAGATTATAATGGTCCCAACATTGGATCACATTGACTTGCATAGGAAATACCTTAAAATTCTCATAAGCAACTGCAATGCCAAAAGCTTAAATATGTCATAGTTCTCCACAAAAGCTGTAAAAAGTGGTTGTATTTTCAACACTTAATTCATACAAATGTTCTACAGTAATTTCTCTGCAATTTCACAGAAAATCTTAAATACTTTCAAACATATATATATAGTAAAAAAAAGAAGAAAAACAACACATACACCTTGCTTAAAAATTTATTTGTCTTGATTTTCAAACATCAATAAATAGGTGGGAAGAAATATAGACAGAGAGAGAAAGAGAAAAAAAATTTACAAACCAACATGTGTCAAATACTGTATGTGAAAACATACATCTATAGAGAAAAAGATAAACATGTACAGAAGAAAGAAAACAACAACAGATACACAATGGTCACAATCATGCTAAAGATGATAAAAAATACAACACAAATATTGTCATCTTAGTGCAATAACTGGTTAAGTTCTATTAAATTTAGAAAGACTTAACCCATTAATGCACTAAGATGATAGCAATATTACTTATATCAGAATCAAAAGAAAATGTATCATGGTACATTTTAAGGTACACATTGCACCCTGCACAAATTTCCAGCATTTTGATTGGTCAAGAGTTTCAAGATATTTTATCATGTATCATACTTATTACACTGATAATGTCTTTTATCATATAAAATTTACATAAAATTCCATGTAGGATAACAAGTGCAATCTCAATTTCTCTCAATTTCACAATCTTTTCAATAATTTTAGTAAATCTTTTTAGGTAAATTACTTTAATCTAAAAGATAAAAAAATACATAAACTAAACCTTATAAGAGGGTTAATGCAAATTACTGCTGATTTTAAGTAAATTAAACCCCTGTTTTATAAAGATACCGTCTTACAGATGAATAAATACTAAAAAACCCTTAAATTCACAGTAGACAATTCCAAAACAGAAATGGTCTGTATTGTATGAATATCAAAAGGCAGAATTTTATTAAGGTCATTTTATATATAACATGGAAATTTAACAATGGTAGTGATGTTCACATAATATCTAAGTTATATTTCAACATCATATAGAAAGTATTTCTTACAAAATCTAAAACTTTAATGTAAAATACTAAAAATAGACTGTGCTGTCAAGACTATCCAAATTAACATTTTGTGTTCCATACCATACATATATCATAATTATGAAAATGTACTCTATAATTCTACTTAGTGCATGATAATATTTTATATTAGTGTATAAAAATGACAGTGAAGTTATTCAAAAATTTACTGGGAAAAAAATTTAAATTCAATTTTACCTAGTTTTGATAAAATATACTTTGGTATTGAATTAAATTGCACACAAAAATAAACAAGAGGGCCATGATGGCCCTGAGGTCGCTCACCTGTATATAGCCCACCCCCCCCCAACATTGCAGGGCCAATTTAACCCAAGGGCTTTTATTTGCACAAACTTGGTAGACACCCATAAGAAGATGTTTCATGCTAAACATCTAAGCTCTAGCTCATTGGGCTTTTTAAAAGAAGATTTTTTTAAAGTTTTTACTATACACATATAGTTAAAAACAATGACACCCCTGGGGCCGGGCCAGTTTTGACCCCAGGGCTTTTATTTGAACAAACTTTGTAGACACTTACTAGAAGATGTTTCATGCTTAATATCTAAACTCTAGCTATTTGGGTTTTTTCAAAGAAGATTTTAAGTTTTTGCTATACACATATAAAGAAAATCAATGACCCCCAGGGCGGGGCCAATTTTGACCCATGGTCTTTTATTTGAATAAAACTTTGTAAACACTCACTAAAAGATGTTTCATGCTTAATATCTTAACTCTAGCTATTTGGGTTTTTTCAAAGAAGATTTTTAAGTTTTTGCTATACACATATAAGGAAAATCAATGACCCCCGGGGCTGTGCCAATTTTGACCCCAGGGCTTTTATTTGAACAAACTTGGTAGACACCCATTAGAACATGTTTCATGCAAAATATCTTAGCTCTAGCTCTTTGAGTTCTTTAAAAGAAGATTTTGTAAGTTTTTACTATATGCATATAGGGAAAATCAATGACCCCCTGGGGCCGGGCCAATTTTGACCCCAGGGCTTTTATTTGAACAAACTTGGTAGACACTTATTAGAACATGTTTCATGCTAAATATCTTAGCTCTAACTCTTTTGGTTCTTTAAAAGAAGATTTTTTAAGTTTTTACTATATGCATATAGAGAAAATCAATGACCCCCTGGGGTGGGGCCAATTTTGACCCCAGGGCTTTTATTTGAACAAACTTGGTAGACACCTATTAGAACATGTTTGATGCTCAATATCTTAGCCATAGCTCTTTGATTTCTTTAAAAGAAGATTTTTTAAGTTGTTACTATATGCATATAGGGAAAATCAATGACCCCCCGGGGCGGGGCCAATTTTGACCCCAGGGCTTTTATTTGAACAAACTTGGTAGACACCCATTAGAACATGTTTCATGCTAAATATCTTAGCTCTAGCTCTTTGGGTTCTTTAAAAGAAGATTTTTTAAGTTTTTACTATATGCATATAGGGAAAATCAATGACCCCCCGGGGCGGGGCCAATTTTGACCCCAGGGCTTTTATTTGAACAAACTTGGTAGACACTCACTAGAAGATGTTTCATGCCAAATATCTAAGCTCTAGCTCTTATGGTTTTTTACAAGAAGATATTTAAAGTTTTTTCTTTCGGTTGCCATGGCAACCAGAGTTCTGCATGGAATTAAATTCTTTGAACAATTTTTTAAAGGTGACCACCAAAGGAACATTCCTGTGAAGTTTGGATGAAATTGGCTTAGTGGTTTATGAGGAGATGTCATTTAAAGTAAAAGTTTACGGACGGACGCCGGACGAAAAGCGATCACAAAAGCTCACCCTGTCACTTTGTGACAGGTGAGCTAAAAATAATTATAAAAAAATTCAGCACAAACTACAAGAATAACGTTAACCATAAAAACCATGTCGACAGTTGGAAAAGATATCATAATTTGGTAAAATAATATTTATATTTAAGATTTTCTTCTTGGTTATATATAATTGAATATCTATAATCTAAACTCTTGTTAAGTTAATAGGTTTAAAAGTGTAATACTCATAATTTGACTTCATATTAAGAAAGATTTCATGAAAGCATCGATTTTCAAAAAAAGACTCAAAAAGGCAGAATCCAGTAAAAGTCATCCTATTCAGTATTTTGTGACTAAGGGAGATCAATCAAAAATGAAAAAGAGGAGTTCAATTACTTATTTAGGTTAACTCTTGAATGTGTTTAGATTATATTTTCTTTTTTTTTAACCTTTTTCTAATAATTTTTTAATAAGAACAATTCACAGATACAGATACTCTACCAATATATACTTTTATTTATATATAAATGTAAAGTTTCAAGTTATAAGTCTCAAATTATTTTTATTTAGTTAAGTTTTAAGTCAAACTAAAACTGTAATAGTGACTTTCCAGGAAGATTTCGGATGCCCATTCAAACATTATTTAGGCATAAACAGGCACCCGATTAGAAACACAATCTTTAGCTTCCTCACATGACAGATGATAGGATTTGAACCCACAGAAGTGAAGTAAGGTGACTTTTAGTCGGTGATCTTTACCACTGACCCCTCCCCTCTCAGCCCTAAATTAATTCATAGTCTGCATTAAATGAATATATTGTGTAAAATTACCATATATTTTCTCACTCATTCACTTATTTTTGTACTGATTAGTTAAAAAAATACTGACAGTAGTCCAAAATTTGAGTGGCGAAGGAAAATACCAGTAAAATCTGGAAGAGACTATTATTCAATACATGACAACATAATAAAGAAGGAATATGATTTTAATGGGAATGATTCAATAACAAATGGTCCACAAGATACACTTAGAAATTTCCTGTACATTCATGTATATGATACACATACCAAAGAAAATACCAGCCTCCATTATCCGGTGTTTGCTGGAAAATGTCATCTACACCAATTCTGTATTGACAGCCAGATCAAGAAATTCTTATCATTCTCCACTGCCTCTTCATACAAAGTGTTTCATATTTTTTGGCCCATATTTAAACAAAGAAATTTGTATACCCATAAATTTTCCTACCCAGACATGGGGCCTGTAAGTGTAAGCATATTATAACATGTCACATGATGATGATGCCTACCGTGTCTTGTGTATGATCAACATACTATTGTATTAGGGAACAACAAAAATGTTGATGGAAAAAAAAACATCATGCAAAATTACAACTCAAGTGGCAAAATCACCGAACCAAACTAACATAGTGATTCTTATCAATAATGGATTAAATAGCAGATTATTTTACCTAAATGATTGTTGCTGTTTTAATGCTTGGCTAACTAACACTTTAGAGTAAGTTATGATTTAGAATAGGTGATGCCTTAAGAATAAGTGATGCACTAGAATACAAACTGCTTTAAATAAGTGACACCTTAGAATAAGGGATGCTTTAGAATAAGTAATGATTCAGAGTATGTCTACGAATATGCAATACAATAAGTGATGTCATAAAATACTTAATGCTTTAAAATAATAAAATCAGAATAAATGACAACTTTAATAAGTGATGCATTTGAATAATTAATGCTTTAGAATAAGTGACCCTTTAGAATAAGTACTGATTTAGAATAGGTGACACCTAAAAGTATGGGATGCATTAAAATAAAAGATGTATCAGAATATTTAATGCTTTAAAATAAGTGACATTAGCATGAATATGTGACACCCTAGAATAAGTGATGCTTTAGAATATTTGATGCCTTTGATTAAGTGACACTTTAGAATAATTGACATAAGTGACACCGTAGAATAAGTAATGCTTTAAAATAAGTTATGCTTAAGAATAGGTTACAAATAAGAAGTGATGCCATAGAATAAGTAATGCTTTAGAATAGGTAACAAATAAGAAGTGATGCTATAGAATAAGTTATATATGTTATGCTTTAGAATAGGTTACAAATACGAAGTGATGCCATACTATAAGTAATGATTTAGAATAGATCACAAATAAGAAGTGACTAAAAGACATCTTAGTATATGTAATGCTTAAGAATAGTTGCTGCTTCAGAATAAGCGGAGCTTTCAAATGAACTTGTCATGGCTACATAGTACCATTATGCTGATAAATATACAATGAGGTATCTTAATTGTAAATCCAGACTAGTTTTCTTCTTTACTGTTAATACTGCAATAAAGGTAGAAAAAACATAATCTCTTAAACCCTCTATGAAGCAAGTATAAGGCAACCAAATATGCAGAAGTTCTGGTGCATCCAAAGTGCTTTAAAGAAATCCAACCTTATCCTTATGCAGAATTTTATTTTTGTACCTTTTGTAACATATTGGTATTATATTAATCATTTGTGACTGTGTAAATTCAGAAAACAGAAATTCTATTATTCAGGATTTTACACACAAAAATGATAAAACACAAATTAAATTATGTTGCCATATGAAGGCTTCATCTGAATATATAATTCATAATATAGAATTGAAAATCTAAGAGTATCAAATAATTCATTATGGCCTTTGGTTCAATAATTTTACATTTTTTAACTCCAAAAAAGTATACATACAAATTAATAATTTCTCTCCATGAACATAGTTAACACACATATTCTACAGTAAAGAAAATCTGAGTCATCACACCTCTAATATACAAACGAAAAAGGGTTACAGCAAATGCCCTATCAATTATATCCTCATTGACTGGCTCTACGCTACAAAAACTGACATTTTTAAACCAGTCTACAAACAATTTAATGCCATTGGGCAAATTCAAACCAAAATTAAAATCCAACCAATCAGAATCTAGAATTTGACTGGTTTCCTATCTTAACCCTTAACCTGCTGAATTTGTGTAATGGATCAGCCCAGATCTGTATTTGGAATAGTTCATTCAGAATTTAAGGGATTTCAATATAAAAATCCAACAACTGAGTTACCAACAGCACTGGAGCATGGTCAGACTGCATGGATGTGCAGGCTAGCCTGGCTCTATACTGATGGCAAAGGCTTATCACTTTCAACCCCAGCAGGTTAAGATTTTTAAGTTTTGTACAAAGTTGAAGGCTAATATAGCACTCACAAGACAAACAAAATCAAAAAATCAAAAGAAAAATCAAGGCAAGGCAAAATAATAAATATTGCACATGAACAAATAAACAATAACAACAACAATAAGTAAATACAAAACTCAAAGGTAACACTATGAACACAAAATATTTCTTTCAAGTGAAACTGTATAGTCTATCTACAAATACAGACATATGATTTCATTGAAAAAAAAGAGAGAAAAAATATGAGGCATGTGTTATTTGAATACAAAATGGAAAAATTATACTGGACCTTTTTGAAAATCAACAACTTTTTAATCTAGTTAAATAGTCTGTCTGATTTTCTTTCCTTATCATATACAGCAGCTAAACATAAACAAAGTCTTTCTCAAAAGAATCAGTGCCTATTCCATAAAAAAACATGTTTTAAATAATTAAAGTGTATAAAGCTATATATCTATTGAGTGTTGCATACAAAATCATTGTTTGAATTTTGAAAAAGAATACTTCTAAAACACCTGTATTAAAACTTAAAAGATATATGTATATTTTCCTTCAGTGTGAATAGTACATGAACAAAACCATTGCTGAACAGTAAACAACCCTACTTGACATAGCAATAACAATATTTTGTTCTTAAAATATTTCATTCTGTTTATGTATGATATTTATGTGTTAAATAACATAGAAATTCTATGATAAAACTCTTTCCAGGATCAACTGTAAAATTAATAAGAAAATCATGATTTAACTGTTAAATTTTTTTTATTAGATATAGCTTTATACCCTTTAACCAAATAAATGACATTATATTCAAGATTCAAAAGAGTTTTTAGACAATAAATAACCAAACTCCATTCCAAACTTTTGAGTTTTATAAGCTAACAGTAGAACTGTCTAATATTCACTTACAACTATAGTTAATATTTAACAAGTAAATTGTATCACCTCAATAATAGAAAACTTTCTATTTAATAAACAGAGACAATACTTAGCTGAAATATGAGCAATGAATGGGTGCCTGAAATGAGAAACTACATTCCTAACATTTCAAACATATTTGGTAAATAATAATAATAACCAACAAACTTCTAACACACAAATATTTGACCATCAATCGCATACACCCCTCCCTGGCCTCCCCGAAATCCAACACACACATTCCATGAATTACATACAAGTTTTATTTGATTTGATTTAAAACAATGCCACACTTTAACAAGTAAAATTGTAAATGCATAATATATTATTACTGTAGCATGACATTTAACACAATTCTTTTTTTTTGCAGAGCAAAATATTTTTAATTGAAAAAAAATTGAAATAATTTTTAAGACATTAACTAAACTTTAATACATAATAATTAGAATATTAACAGAAATTTACTTAAACAACTGTTATTCAAGACAAACAAAATTAGTACAGAAAAATGTTATGAAATGCGCTGATATCCCTAATCACAGTTTTCACATTAGTTCGGTCTATAGACCACACCTTCCAACATTTTAAAGGGGTAGCTACATGTATAATAAACCACAGTTTGATCCGCTAACTCATCTATAAACTGAAGAAGTCGAACATTACAAGTCAACTTATTTTAACATGCTATTGATACAAGTTTTAACTTTTCAATGCAACTTTGAAGGGAAGCCTTAACGGCTAACTCTCTACTCCCATAAACATTTTCATAATGTCATTCTAAAACTCCTGTATTAAAGTATACATGTACATAATGATACATTAAGTAAATCATTGATATGTTTAAAGAAAAAGAAAAAAAAACAGTCATAAATATTTGACACAGGTGGATAATATCTAACAAACTAACTTCAACATAAATGTTTATGCGCAAGACTTCAAAAAAAAAAATCAGTATTATTACATCAGGTATCAATACAACTGCTGAAAGCCATATCTGTTTCCAATCCCCCCCCCTTTTTTTTTTCAAAATTCAGTTTCCTATTCCCTATCATACTTTTAAATTCACAGTTTCCTATTCCCTATTTTTATTAAGAGTTTTATATTCCCTTCATTCACAGTTTCATATTTCCTTCCTATTTCCAATTTGTTTTATTCACAGGTTCCTATTCCCTATTATTCGCAATTCCCTATTATTCACAATTTCCTATTCCCTATATTTTATTCACAGTTGCCTATTCCCTATACTTTTATTCAGTTTCCTATATTCACAGATTCATATTCCCTATACTTTTATTCACAGTTTTCTATTCCCTATTTTTATTCCCTTTAAATCGTTTGTATCCTTCATATATTTAATTTTGTTTGCTTTTCTGGTTTTACTTGAATCAGCACTTTCCTGGATAACTAACCAGTTATTACCAATTTCCCTGCAAGTGACTGACAAGTATACAGAATGCATATAAAAGGAAGAATTCATCAAATTCGCACTTTCAGAGATACACCTCAATTCTCTATTACCATTATATGTGAATGATGATGTAGGACATACATGTTCATATGCACCAATAACAAGTTTTCCGGTCCAACAAAAAATTCTCAATTATAAAATCAACCCTTAACCTGCTGGCACTAAAACTGATTAGCTTTTGCCACCAGTATAAGAGCCAGGCCGGCCTGCATATTTGAGGTCTGACCATGCTCTGTAGCTCAATTTTTGTAACTCGATATGAGCCGCATCACAACAAAACCAACATAATGGGTTTGTGACCAGCATGGATCCAGACCAGCGTGCGCATCCGTGCAGTCTGATCAGGATCCATGCTGTTCGCTATCAGTTTCTCTACTTGTAATAGAGTTAGTAAGCGAACAGCATGGATCCTGATCAGACTGCGCAGGCTGGTCTGGATCCATGCTGGTCTCAAACCCATTATGTTGGTTTTGTCGTGACGCGGCTCATATATTTTTTATATAAAATTTTATATTATATAGTATTTTTCTGATATTAAAAAAGCCCATTATGCCCCATAAAAGTATTTTTTTTTATTTCTCCAAAGCTCTGTTTTTTTGTGTCCTGTTAAACTTTCTAAAATGTTATTGTCCAGTTACCTGAACAAACTATCTATTGCTTTTTTTTCCCTTTTAGCAATTAGTACAGTCATAGTGATAAAGTTTTTGTATGGACGTCAAAATACTACGTTGTTTACATTTTGCCATCTTTATGACAAATTCATTCACATTCAATGCTAAGTAATAAGCATTTAATATGCTCTTAAACATTTGTGGAAACGTTATAAAACTCATTTTTGCACCAACAGGAAAATATTATTTCGTTTCTGAGGTATAATTTGCCTTTAAAATTGAAAGAAGCACAAATCTATTACACAATTTCAGCAGGTTAAGGGTTTACAGTAAAAAAAAAAAAATGGAATAAAAACATACTGATGATGAAAATCTTGTGAATATATACTTTAATAATGCTATCTAATATTGCACAAGTGGAGTAAGTTTATATATTAATAATTAAAGGATGTGATCAACGCAAAATTGATTTAAATCTGTTTTTTTCCATTGAAATCATTAGAGTTACGTCAATTATGCATTGATCCCTTACTTCTGATCAAAGTCAAATACATTTTGCATCCTATTTTCTTATGTTTATTAAATTAAATAACATAATTTAAAAAATACTAATATTCAATATATGTTATAAAGTTGTACACGTGTAAAGTCAGTCAGCTGATTTACCTCGAGTAAACACATAATTATGTAATATGCTGGTCTTTCCTGTCGCTACAAAAGACTGTCAAGAAAATGCTATTTGGTCAGTACCATATGTATTTTGAAATTTTCCCTAAATATGATGAATGGTTTTGTCCAGATTGAAAGATGGACAAGTCTATTTAAGATATTTAGCAAGGTAAGGATTTAACACGTCCTGAATTACTCATGAAAATTAGTATAAATCCTGGAGCATATTTAATCATTTAATCAGCCCAACCACACAAAAAATGAAAAATAAATTATATCCCTGTAACACAATTTGCCAACTGCCTTTACATGTCTACATTTCAAGTGTTAAAATTTTAACACTTCCTTTAGATTTAAAAAAAATAACATCCATCTACTTTAACTCTTAGCCTGCTAGAATTTGAAAGTAATTACCCTTTGTCACCAGTATAGAGCCCCGCCAGCCTGTACATCCATGCAATTCTGCCTAAGGTCCAAGGTTATACAGAATTTTTCTAAGCTCAAACTCTGATCTCAGGTATCTGATTTGTCAAATTCCAATACAAAAAGTATACTGACCAATAAAACTCCTGTGATTTGAGACAGAACTCAAAAAAAAGTTTTACAACCTCGAAGCCAGGCTCTATATTGTTGGTAGTTCTATTTTTATGTATTTTGATATTGAAATCCCTTAAACTTTGAATGGACTGTTCCAAGATTCAATGCTGGGTGAGTCCATTATACAAATTCAGCAGGTTAAGGGTTATTATGTTATAAACTAATTTAAATTTTTTTGAAACATGCTGTACAAAATCTGAGCTCATTTATCAAACATTAAAATGCATCTGATTACATTTACAAATTTTTATCTTTCTGAATAAATTATTAAATTTCCAATTTTTTTATGTACACATTTATAATCTGTCTTGCATAAACTAGTAAAAACTACATATACATTGTACTTTAATTTAAAAAAAAAATTGAAATGTTTGTAAATTTGACATATGTAAAACTTGTTATTTCTTTGCTGAATGAAAAAAAATAACAGTATGTATGCCTGAAAACAAAAAGTGTTTCATAAAATTATAATAAATTTGATTCCTTTCATAACTCTATTTTACTCCCAGACTCCTCTTATATAAGGAAAATTTAATTTCTAAAATGATCCGAACAATGAAATGAAATCTCTGTATCTAAATTGAAACATTTTCTAAAATTAAATTCTAATATTTCAATAAGACAATCATTTCTTTTCCTTTTTCTTATTTTTTCCCTGTTTTTCACTTCACAAAAATATGTCAGTTCCCTGAATCCCACACTGCTACCTTCCATATTTTCCCTATTAGTCAAAGTGGTCTCTTAAATGCAGACCCATGTGTCTCTAAAGTGAAGTAAGTCTATACCAAAAATAATGACAAGATAACTTAAAATTTACATCGTCCTAGATGTATAAGGAAAATATAAGTAATTTTGTTGTACTTCCTTCTTCTGTGTTGTGAAAAAAACAGTTTCAATATAATAACTTTTAAAAACATTCAAGTGAAAAAATCTACATGAATTCAGATAACAACTTGATCTTTATCTACAAGTCAATGGTGCAATAAAGAATTTTACTTTATCTACATGTGCAATAAAAAAAATGTCTGAAACGTGTTGTGTCGAACTCTGAAACACGAGACTGTCCGGCGCGGTGTCAAACTGTCAATGACTGTTATTTCATTAAAACAGTTCCGGTTGGAAAGCATCACAAATTTCCTGAAAAAACTTCTACATAATCATAAATATAACATCTACAGTTGTTTAGAGAATCCATTTCTCTCTTTACCACTTGATATGTCCGCCGACTTTGCCGCACTTCTTTCTGTCACATGACCTCCGACGGTTCCGTTTCTATGTATTACATTAGAATCTTTTAAATTGACCGTCGATTCATTTTCAATAACTGATCTTTTAACTCCTTGGTCACTGGATTCCTTCACAAAAATTTTCACTTCATTCTTGCAATCGTTTGGTCGACACAGTTTGAATTTGATCGATGTCCACGTGATAAATTTTCCGATCATCGGTATGAGTAGAACCTGATGTATCATCCCACATATACGATAAAGTCGGCCGTAAAAAGGATCCGAGACTGCTGGACATAGCATGTTGTTTAAATTCACTTCAGATAACTGGAAAAAATATATTTAAACATAAAATTAATAAATATGAAATTGTTTAAGTTTGTGTGTGATACATATTTATTTCATTCATAGTCTGTGAACTGTAACACGAGGAAACCGCCAAATAGGGTTCGAACCCACTATCCCTGGGTAAAGAGGCCAATACCTTTACCATCAGGCCACCAATCCCCTATAAAATTATTTGTACTGCAGCTACACACAAAACAGTTTTGAGGCAATAAATTTCCATTTACATCTAAGGATAGAAAATTGAAAAATAGCAATATTTATCAGAATTTCTGCATGAGTTATATATTTCATAATTACGGTTATAGATACTGAATAGTCAAAAGTTTTATTTATTACCAGGGATTTATTAACCCAGGCTGCCCCCTGCCAAATGAACCTTTTACTACAAAATAAGAAACTGGCTCAAACTTTTTTCATACCACTATCTGAATCAATGAAACCATAAACCGTAAAATTATTTTGTTTTCTACACAAAAACAGTTCTTAATATAAAAATCTGCAATAAAGGTGATCCCTTAGAAGCATTAATCACAACAAAATCACATGAAAATTGCAGATTCTGATGGTTTGATTGAGTCTGTATATAAAGGATAATGAAAATGTGCAACATCCCTCACGCCCCCTAGCACCGGCTTGAGCGGTACTCAATTTTCAACACTTATGTGCTGGAATCAAAAATAAAAGGGGTATTTTATAAGTCAAAAAAAATTTTGCAGAAAAAAGCATTAAAGTTTCAGTTTTTGTTTTGGGTATGCATGTTATTCTAAATCATTTTAGCTCATTACAACAGCTAAGTAGTTGAGAGGGACAAAGTGGAAGAAATAAAGCCAGCCCAGTGACAGTAAAGTCCAACTCATGTCTGACAACTTCTCTGCCGTGTAAACACCTGTAACATATTACATAACATATATTCTGTGTAAATACCTGTAACATATTACATAAAACATATTCTATGTATACAATTTGAAATATTGTTTCAATTTTACTGTTTTTTGGGAGAGGGTTCTGTTATTGCATAAATATTCACAGGTAAATTGTCATATGGCCAATTTTTAAGGCTTTAATGGGTCAAGGTTTAAGGCCTCAGGTGCACACCACCCCTGGCCTATGCAAAATTGCACATGTAAGAGGCATTGAACCATTGTGGTGGAATCATTAGCTTCACACAAGTAAGCTAGGCAGCTACTTCAAACGTAATAACTCGAAGTCTGTCTTATAGAATTTGAACAAATAGTGATGGGGGCAAAAGATTAATAGCTGGAGACCTTTTAGCCACTCCAAAAGCAAGTAGTTAAGGTCTCTGACTTCAAATCACTTGCCCTCACCTTAACATTGTGGGTTCAAATCCTGCCAGGAACTTTAGATTATTTTGTGAGCGGAAGCTATCCAACTAGCTTATGGAATGTCTGTGGATCTTCTCTGAAATAATGCACAGAGGGGCACACGAGGTCTACCTCAACCAGTATACAGTACTGGACACGCGAAACCCGCACAATTCGCGTATTCGCGGCGAACTCTCATGCTTTATAACGCGAGCGAATTCGCGGCAACTTGAGACAATCGCCGCGAATTCAACTCGCGGCGATTTTGCCGTGAACATTTGCCGCGATTTCGCGGGGAATAATACATGTTCATTTGTATAATAAATGTAGATCTATTTATAAGTGTAGTCTGTGAACTTGAAACCAGATATACATGTACAAGTACGAAAATTAATTAGTAGATCCTACATGAAGTTGTATCAAGAAAATCTTGTAATTTGCTAAAATGCCCTTTCTCTATTTATCTTTGATGCCAACAGCAAATATAAATAACCACGCTGAAATCAAATAACACCGTTAAAAAACTTTCCGTGAATGAATCATGACCTCAATGTATAAATGCGACGCAGTACAAGTATGCGGCTCCATCTGCAGGTAAATAGTGTGCATGTACACGTGTAAAACTTTTTTTAGGGGGGGGGGGTACATATTGAGTTTAAAGTAGAGATATAAATATAATATATGTGTAAAAAGATATTTAGTTACATAAAAAGATACATAATTGATACGACATTAACTTGTTCATTTCTAAATGTAGTGGATCACCGGGACATTTCGTTCTCTCGGGTGATCATTACTCATTTATTACACGTTTGTAAAAAATAACACACGCAAAGATTTGTCTGCTATAATTTCTGAAATGGCGGATATTTGCACCCCTGTTTTAAAAATGTTAAAATATTTAATTGTTAGTTACCGAAAATTATCGCCGATTGGTTGAAATTCCATAGCGCTAAAAGACAAACAAAAACTCTCGCGCAAAAAGAAGCATCCATAAATAAAAGGAATATAATGTTTCCATTTGTTAAATAATAAAATACAAAAATTTACACACGAAATGACCTCTGACAAATGACTGGTCGGCTCTTTCTGAAGAATCTCTGTGAATCTTTTGATGTTTACACACCTGTAGTTGTTGCCGAAATCATCAAAAGAAATGCCGACACTCGATTGACTTTCACCTCTTTTTTATATATCAGAAAAAAAACTGTCATTTCTTTTTGTCAAGGAATGATTACACATGTTTAATTATTGCTCAAGTAAAAAAAATGTTGGATATTGATTGTGTCAATTATTGACATATTATTAATCGTAAGTGCATTTTGATTGTGATATTTTTATTTACATTTCTCATCACCTACTCATGCACCTGGCATTTTTTACTCGTGAAATTGAAGGTAAAGAATGTCAATTTAAGTGATAAAACTTTTACAATTTTCAACAATCATAATTAGCGTATTAGACGTAATAATTAGTTACACCTGTGAATCAGTGCTAAATGTTGCTTTGCATTGTTCTAAAAATAGAATATGTGCGAAAGTAAACAATGGATTTTAATTTTACATTTGTATTATTATCAAAATAACAATTGGACAATTTGTTATCGTGCGTTCTTTGATGTAGTACCAATTACCTTTTGTAATTTCAATCTCGTTTTATTGTTAACTAATTTTCACCAGCACCTGATTGCTTTTGTTTTAATATACAAAATGTATACGCTGTACATGTTCAAATGCTAAATATTTATAAAATATACAAGACGTTTACAAGATTTTTTTTTTAAAGTTTTCAAAAATTAAAGATCACGGGAATTAAGGACCAAGTAGTAACTTTCTAATACAATTATTGCTGAAGATTCGCCGTAAATTACGGGCGATTACATCGCGGCGATTTTTTCGTTGACCCGCCACGAAATTCGGCGAACTTGCACGCGGCGATGTTTTACCGCGAAGTGGTCCCGTCGCGACATAGACTACACTCGCGGCATAACGCGACTTTTGCGGGTTTTCGCGTGTCCCAGTACTGTAGCTAGAAAGTATACCAATATAACCTTTAAAGTGTTGGTATGACTTAAAATCCAAACACAGACACTTTGATATTATTATTCATTATTATTCTTCCTATTGAAACAAGGAAGGATATTAATATTATTGAAAGTTCAGATTAATCAGTGCATTTAATGCTGTACGATTTGATATTTATTGGATAAGTAAGAAAAATCTCTTCTCTATACATAACTTACAGTACTGGACACGCGAAACCCGCAAAAGTCGCGTTATGCCGCGAGTGTAGTCTATGTCGCGACGGGACACTTCGCGGTAAAACATCGCCGCGTGCAAGTTCGCCGAATTTCGTGGCGGGTCACGAAAAAATCGCCGCGATGTATTGCCGTAATTTACGGCGAATCTTCAGCAATAATTTGTATTTAGAAAGTACTTACTTGGTCCTTAATTCCCCCTGTGATCTTTAATTTTGAAAACTTTAAAAAAAATCTTGTAAACGTCTTGTATATTTATAAATATTTAGCATTTGAACATGTACAGCGTATACATTTTGTATATTAAAAACAAAGCAATCAGGTGCTGGTGAAAATTAGTTAACAATAAAACGAGATTGAAATTACAAAAGGTAATTGGTACTACATCAAAAGAACGCACGATAACAAATTGTCCAATTGTTATTTTGATAATAATACAAATGTAATTAAAATCCATTGTTTACTTTCGCACATATTCTATTTTTAGAACAATGCAAAGCAACATTTAGCACTGATTCACAGGTGTAACTAATTATTACGTCTAATACGCTAATTATGATTGTTGAAAATTGTAAAAGTTTTATCACTTAAATTGACATTCCCTTTACCTTCAATTTCACGAGTAAAAAATGCCAGGTGCATGAGTAGGTGATGAGAAATGTAAATAAAAATATCACAATCAAAATGCACTTACGATTAATAATATGTCAATAATTGACACAATCAATATCCAAACATTTTTTTTACTTGAGCAATAATTAAACATGTGTAATCATTCCTTGACAAAAAAGAAATGACAGTTTTTTTCTGATATATAAAAAAGAGGTGAAAGTCAAATCGAGTGTGTCGGCATTTCTTTGATGATTCGGCAACAAACTACAGGTTGTGTAAACATCAAAGATTCACAGATTCTTCAGAAGAGCCGACCAGTCATTTGTCAGAGGTCATTTCGTGTGTAAATTTTGTATTTATTATTTAACAATGGAAACATTAATATTCCTTTTATTTATGGATGCTTCTTTTTGCGCGAGAGTTTTTGTTTGTCTTTTAGCGCTATGGAATTTCAACAATCGGCGATAATTTTTCGGTAACTAACAATTAAAATATTTTAACATTTTTAAAACAGGGGTGCAAATATCCGCGCATTCAGAAATTATGCAGACAAATCTTGCGTGTGTTATTTTTTACAAACGTGTAATAAATTGAGTAATGATCACCCGAGAGAACGAAATGTCCCGGTGATCCACTACATTTAGAAATGAACAAGTTAATGTCGTATCAATTATGTATCTTTTTATGTAACTAAATATCTTTTTACACATATATTATATTTATATCTCTACTTTAAACTCAATATGTACCCCCCCCCCCCTAAAAAAAAGTTTTTTACACGTGTACATGCACACTATTTACCTGCAGATGGAGCCCGCATACTTGTACTGCGTCGCATTTTATACATTGAGGTCATGATTCATTCACGGAAAGTTTTTAAACGGTGTTATTTGATTTCAGCGTGGTTATTTATATTTGCTGTTGGCATCAAAGATAAATAGAGAAAGGGCATTTTAGCAAATTACAAGATTTTCTTGATACAACTTCATGTAGATCTACTAATTAATTTTCGTACTTGTACATGTATATCTGGTTTCAAGTTCACAGACTACACTTATAAATAGATCTACATTTATTATACAAATGAACATGTATTATTCCCCGCGAATCGCGGCAAATGTTCACGGCAAAATCGCCGCGAGTTGAATTCGCGGCGATTGTCTCAAGTTGCCGCGAATTCGCTCGCGTTATAAAGCATGAGAGTTCGCCGCGAATACGCGAATTGTGCGGGTTTCGCGTGTCCAGTACTGTATAGCTCAATTTAGCTCAATTTAGCAGTGAGTCTACGATCAGAGTTGAATCACTTTAATTATGTATATAATATGAAGCAATAAGTTAAACAAGATGGCCATGACAGCCCTGAAATCGCTCACCTGAATATAAAAACATGACAAGGAACAAGTAATATTGTAAACTATAAACAAAAGCAAATATAAAATCTAACTCTTAAACTGATATCACAAAGTTCATGTTTTTTATTTGAAATTGTGCATGGAATTAAATTCTTTGAACAATTTTCAATGGTGACCACCAAAGGATCATTCCTGTGAAGTATGGATGAAATTGGTTTAGTGGTTCATTAGGAGATGTTGTTTAAAGTAAAAGTTTATGGACGCCGGACAAAAGTGATCACAAAAGCCCACCTTGTCACTTTGTGACAGGTGACCTAAAAATAACTTTATTTTAATGTACATACCTCCAGTCTTCATTAGATAATATGGAATTATCATCATTAAAATATGTTGTATAAAATATACTTCTGTTTCAAATGGCAACTGAAAAATATGAAATAAAAAGAATGGTTTTAAAAAATTGTGGAATTGACAAATATGGAAACTGTGAAAAAAGTTTGCAGCCATTTTTAACCGCCTGCTAGATTATTTCTTGGAACTAACTCGTCATGGAGTAATATAATGAAACATGGTCAAGAAGCAATTAGAACTCAAACCTTTAACTCATGGTTTGAGCGGTAGATACCTTAACCACCAGGCCACTGCTCCCCTCTACAAATATTCATTTACATAAGTAAAGCTGTGACCGGCCAATAAAGATAATAAAATATAATCAATCACAATACAGATCTGCTTAAATCTTATTATAAACTAATATATAATTCTTTTAAAATTTCAAACAAGGTTAAAAACAGTGACAAGAGACAGGCATGACTCAAAATAAAACCACATATAAACATACATTGTATTCATGAAACCTAAAGACGCACACATTAACAAAAAGAGTGATTATTTCAAAATCCAGGAAAGTTAATATAAAATTGTAAAAAGAAATATAAGACCATGATTAACTACTAGAACTATGTAATCAAAGATGACCTTTAAACTGTTACTCAGTCTCCAATTACAAATGACATTGAAATTAAAGCCTTCTCTCTTGCATGACAAATTTCTTTCTACATTATTTTCTTTTCAAAGCTATCAGGAAGTGCATACATGTAGAAATAACAACTAACATTGTTAATATAAATTGATAAACTAAACTTAAAGGGACTCTCCATACTTTCTCATGAGACTCAAGTATTGGTTTGTACCAGGAAGTATTAGCAAGTGTGGTGAAAGTGCCCATTTCTCACACCAGGGATAATGGGTTCAAGCTTTACTGGAGTCCTGACAATTCTTTGTCATGAAACACCAGAACTAGTTAGTAACAGGCATCAGACACGAGACTAGTTCAAACAAGCTATAAACTTTCTTCATAATCAAGCTAAGATAAATAATATTTTGTTTAAATTCAAACCACTGGTGAGGTACACATGCAGTGTCATAAATGATCTGCCTTTATCCCCAGGAAGTACAGACTAAGGCCTGGCCAGTCTGTAACCTGCACTTCTAAGGAGTTTAAACAGACTCTATACTAAAATTGGACACTCAATTTTAGTATTTTAACCTTAAACCTGCCAAAATTCTTAAATAGACTTGTCTAGCATATTTTTACCATTATTTTTTTTAGATATTAACAGGTAAATTTGAAGTTAGTCAGCAAACAGTTTAGAGCCTGGTCAGACTGCATGGTACAGCTTGGTGTGGCTCTATACTGGTGGCAAAGGCCAATTATCATGTTTGGTTCCAGCAGTGGAAATATTAATATTAAAATCTTTAAAACTCAGTCACTGCAAAAATTAAAAGTTCAAAAGCTAGATTAGTCCAATTCACAAATTTCTGATTTTTTGAAGTAATGTTCTCCTTTCATGTTCAATTGTTGGTATATCCTTGACTCATTCAGAACATAATTCAGCACATAATTCAGGACATGGTCATGATAAGAGGCATATTTTTAATAGTTGTATTGGTCTTACTATTTTTCTTTGTCATAAATAGTTACAGCCTAAAAAAGACCCCATACACACAAAAATTTAATTTGTTGCATACAGATGGCTAACCTATAACTTTGAGACAGTTCATTTAAATCAGCTTCTTTCCACAGTAGCTTATAATCAATATACATCACCATAGACAAAGTTTGTTTATTTTCTTATTTTTTCTTAAAGTGGGGTTTACATCATACTAGTATGGTCACATTTTCGAGGCTCTTCAATATACTATTTCAGGCACAAACAAATAGCGTAGAGCAACAAAGATTCTATAAGCTTTCTCTTGTCACTCTTAAAATGCCAGAACTGAATGATTAGCCTTCACCAACATTGTAGAGCTGTGCCAGCCAGGATATCAAAGCACTCAGCAGTATCACAAGGCCTTATGGTGTTGGTTGCTTAATTGACTTTTAGTAGCTCAATTTTTTTTCAATTCTTTTTATTTCCTTAAAAGAGTTTTAATGGACTGTCCCCAAATTCACAGTTGACCAAATCCATTACACTAATCCATCAAGTAAAGGGCTAAATGAATTCAAAGTCTCTCAAGGGATTCAGCTCACAGCATTCAAAGGCTAGGGATGCATAACCAGCAACCTTAACCACCCAGCCACAGACGCTCATTTAAACAATGTTACAAATAGTTTCAACATTCAATTTTCTCGAATTCTTCTGGAATGCAAGACTTCAACAAAATGAGACAAGTATTATTTATAATTGTGTATCAATAAAGAGATGTCACCATTATTTTTAACATGTAACTAAATATAGGTTACCAATATAAATGCTATTCGTCTTCAGTACCTTATACTTTACAATATCTGCATTTCATGCAAAATCAGAATCTGTATACAATACATTCAGAGCATAACTTAAGTCCTAAGTTATGACCATTCTAATCAATACAAGTGTTATCTACTACAGGGATATATTTTTTCTCTATCGCATCTAATTGAATGTTTCGATTACTACAGAAGTCAAAACCGTGTCTATAATTAAATCCTTATATATCAAATCAATAGAGTTACTGTCAAGCATAATTAAGTATTCAAGACATTAGTACAAACCTATGTTGAAGTATCCAATCAAAGATTATAAATTTACAACTGTGTACAGGGGTTCATGTATCATCAATCATTCCTTTTTTCAGATTGAATTTCAGTAGGTATTTTCCATATACATAAAGCTCAGCAAATTTTTATAGGAATAACCATGTCCCCACAAGTCATTTACAACTTCTGCTCAATGATAACTTCAATATAAGTTGGTCAACAGAAAAAATGTATATATATTTAAGACAATCTTCATTATTTAATTCAATAAAAGTTGGCCAAAAGAATAAATTGACATTAAGACAATTACGGTGTAAATCTTGGTTTAAGTATACTTACATACAAACTGTACAAACTACAATCATAGAGTATGGTGCAATTACATTATGTAAGTAAATAATTGAAATTTCTCCCAGTCGAGTCAGCATTTATACATATACATAACACATATTCACAATGTTTCTAAGTTTTTTAATTACCATATTGAATCCTAAAGTTGATGCTTACAAGATCGGAAAGTAGCATAAAATGTAATAGCATGTTTTAAATGTTGTTAAATCAAACAAACTACATATTTCCCATTCTGGGCATCCTAAAACATTCCCAGGTCGCTTTTTTTTATAGCGACTTTGTGTCTAATTGAGGTTGGTGACATATTTGAGGTCCACAGTTCGAATCCAGGTCTGAACTCTGAAACCTTAAGTTCTACTTTCAACATATTCAGTCATACACCCACTAACAAGATTTTTCACAGCAAGTTTTTCTCGAACAATTATGTAACTCGGCAAAAGAAGGTAACTTTTATTTCTTTTCTATATGCAGGGAAACTTGTCTCGGAGTTCTGTATTGATTGACCTGAATGAAATATTTGCTACATCGTTCACAATGTCTGCGGGATATCAAATATTATTGTACTATATCCTTATTTCTAATCCCTTGTCATTACACAGCTTTCTGTGCTTTAACATTACTCAATACTGTCATTCAATGCAGCATGAAATTTAATTTCTGCACCTAACACTATATGTAACAGCAGTCAGCTGACAGCCTGACATTAAAATGGTTATTGCCCCCAAGTGATTTCAAGTAACATTGCTCTGGAAAGAAAAAGTCCTGTATTGGAATCAAATGATGGTGGGGAAGTTGACATACAAAGTAAAAATACGTACATTGGAGTAGCAGAAATATGTATATTAAAACATGTAAATAGGTATCCCCCCCCTATTTTTTTCCACAGCAGCAACAGCTTATTTTTCCATGTGATGCATAAAATGGTCTCATTGACCTCCTTTGCAAATAGTAAACTTCACAAAAATCGACTCACATACACATTTAGTATCATTCAGTAAATAACTGAATTCAAAATTTATAGGTCACCTTTGGGCAGATTATAACCTTTTAAGGACATGAATGGTGACATGTCCAGGGTTTGTACTCACAGTGTCTGAAAGGGCAGATAGACCCTCAGTTAGCCTAGAATACATACAAATATACACGCCCCCCCCCCCCCCCCCCCCACACACACACACCCCTGGCACCAAGAGGAATAGTCGCTTTGAGATTTCTTACACCAGCTTTGTTACTGTTGTTGCATGACTTTCCGTTTCTTTCTGCCTCATGAACAATATGACAAGACATGCATAATTACATAATGTCAAAGCTTTACGTTTTGTTTAATGTTTTTTTTTTCTGTATATGTTTATACAAGCTGCCATAAACAGCCTCTCAGTAACATTCTTTCTGTGACCTTACTGTATTGAATAATCAATATAACAAAACTATTGCAAGCTCTTTATCATGGAATGGAATGGCTAAATCAAATATCCCGTTGTTTAATATCCTAGGACTAGAAAGAACATCAAACATTTAACCAGTCCATTTAAATTTTACTGGAGATCTACATTTTAAAGTAAATTACGCTACATAAAGAGGCCATATTTCACAGGGATTTTCAACACTCAAATGAAAACTTGTTTTTATATACAAAGTTAATGCAGAGGGAAATAACCTATTAGCCAAGCAAATATGGATAAATGCTGAACGAGGAAAAGTGAGCTGGCAGGAAATTATTTTGCATGAACTAGTTCTTGTAAATGAAAGTTATTCCCCCAAGCGAAATAAGGCCTTTATGTGTTGTTCAACTGTGCTTAAACTTGCATTGCATCATTGAATAAAGTAGATATAACTTTGATACAGAAGTTATGTATGCCAAGAACTTGTTTTTCAACAATATGAAAGTTAATGTACACAACAGACTGGGGTGATTGAATTATGATGAATTATATCAGTTAGACTTAACCAGCTAAAAGGAGGGAGCAGTATAACCTGGCCAATTAAGAAGTTTTAAGCATTTAATTTTTTTCTTATATGAGTCTAACCAGATAAGCTGTTGTCCTACTTTTCATATATGCATGCTGTTATCAAAAGAGACATTATAATTACGGTAACTGAATAAATGGTTAAATACTCTCTACTGAAACAATTATGGAAATGTCAAAAAAAATTCAAATTCAGGCCTTACGATCAGACGAAAAGTAGGTCAAACACTGAATATTTAAATTATTCTCCCAGCATGTAAACCATAACTTTCAAATACAAATCAAATAGATTGATTGTACAAGAAGAATGCCACTAGAAAAATTTCAAACAAAATATTTTCACTGTATGCTGCCAAAAAAATCTTAATCAATAATCTTTGTAAATGAATGGGTGAATTTGTAAATTAATTCAATGATTGACTGAAATTTGGAAATCAATTTATTGAATGGATAAAATTTGTAAATAAATGCATGAAATTTGAAAAAGAATGGATGAAATTTGTAAATGAAAGTAGGAAATTTGTAAATGAATGGATAAATTTGTAAATGAAATTTGAATTATAAAAGAATGGATGAAATTTGTAAATAAATTTGAACAGTAAATGAATGGATGAAATTTGTAAATGAAAGGATAAAATTTGTAAATGAATGGGTAAAATTTGCAAATGAATGGATGGTATTTGTAGATGAATGGATGAAATTTGTAAATGAATGGATGAAATTTGTAAATGAATGGATAAAATTTGTAAATGAATGGATAAATTTTGTAAATGAATGGATGGTATTTGTAGATGTATGGATGAAACTATGGATGGACTTTGTAAATGAATGGATGAAATGTGTAAATGAATGGATTAAATTTGTAAATGAAATTTGAATTGTAAAAGAATGGATGAAATTTGTAAATAATTTTGAATTGTAAATGAATGGATGAAATTTTTAAATGAATGGATGGACTTTGTAAAGGAATGGATGAAATTTGTAAATGAATGGATAAATTTTGTAAATGAATGGATGGTATTTGTAGATGTATGGATGAAACTATGGATGGACTTTGTAAATGAATGGATGAAATGTGTAAATGAATGGATTAAATTTGTAAATGAAATTTGAATTGTAAAAGAATGGATGAAATTTGTAAATAATTTTGAATTGTAAATGAATGGATGAAATTTTTAAATGAATGGATGGACTTTGTAAAGGAATGGATGAAATTTGTAAATGAATGGATGAAATTTGTAAATGAAATTTGAATTGTAAAAGAATGGATGAAATTTGTAAAATAATTTGAATTGTAAATGAATGGATGAAATTTGTAAATGAATGGATGAAATTTGTAAATGAAATTTGAATTGTAAAAGAATGGATGAAATTTGTAAATGAATGGATGAAATTTGTAAATGAATGGATGAAATTTGTAAATGAATGGAATGAAATTTCTTTTATAACAATACATAATTATATTATGATGATTTTTATGATATAACTATATTACATTTATCAGCTCTGATATTGTATTATAAATACTTACAAGCCTTGTGTTTATCACTGGAAACAAAATAGCAATCGGAGCACCTGTCAACATATGTAAATGCAGTCGGAACATTGCTGTCACCATTTTCCCAGGGGGCGCTGCTAGGATGTATATCTAAAAATAGAAAACGCAAACATATTTTGAAAAATCAGAAAATTGATATCTTTACAAAAAATTTGTTAAGTTATTCCTTTATTTTTACAATGTATGCCAGTAACTTTATAATCATTGTATTTCATGCACAAAGGGATATACTGATTCAAACTAAGGTATAAAATTAATAGTCCAATAATAATAAACATACATACATACACTGTAGAATTGTACATGCATTAAAGGAACTCCACTGAAGTTTAAAGGCATTAAAACATAAAATTTGAAAATCTTACAAAAATATCCAGTGAAACACTTAAAACTGAAAAAAATCTGCAAAGGATAACAAAGAAATATATAATAATACTATATATAATTAAAAATCCATTTTATATACAATTCTTAGCCAAATTTGAGACATTTTTAGGCTATTTTTCACCATAAAAATGATTATTCTGGAAAAACAGGATGAGGGAATAGGCTTAAAATTTGCACACAAGTAATTAGATAAGACCTTAAATCAACTGGTACACAAATCTTGTAAAATATTTTCAGCCCCGTCAAATAAAAAAACTTTACTGGAGTCCCTTTAATAATCAGTTTCAACTTTCAAATTTTTAAAAAATTAGATTGGTCAGTGATAATTAACGTCACACGGTCTGCTTTCAGATACTGGCCTGTTTAAAATAACAAAAAGAATTATTTTCCTTATTGGATGATGCCTGATTATTTGTTCTTGTCTAATTGACAAAAGCAGATAAAATGTATTGTCCAATTTTTTAATAATAATACATAACTCATTTGTATAATGAATTTCAATATGACATATTGTCTATATAAAATTGTCAACTAGAAAAAAATGAAGTTGACAAATACTGTGTACATAACAAGTTAGCTCTTGACATCTACAAAATAATCATACTTACTTTTTAGATCTATGCGCTTTTATCATTTTATCTGAGGGCTAGAAATCTAAAATATAGTGATAATTGTATATACATGCAGGGAGTTTAATATTGTATACAGTACTGCAATATTTTGTACAGTTCCTTATTGCTTTCAATATGGAAAATTTTATGGTGTGGCTGTGCATTGTGGTTTTGGTGTTTTTTTTAATGTATTTCTAGAATTCCTGACTGAACTTACATAACTATATCATATTCTACTTTCATAACATTAGAAACTAATTTACAGAATTCTGCACCTTTATTTTGTACAATAAAAATATATATCATTACATACAATTATTATTATTATAGCTCCTCCCCCAACCCCACTGGCCCCCTTCTTTAGAAATGTGCGGTGAAAGGACCTGTTCCCAATTGCTGAACATTTATATTACAATTCTTTGCAAGAAAGAAGTTTTTAATAATTGTTAAAATTCTCAATGGTCATTAACATTAGTGATTTCTGGTTTAATGATGCTGTCAAATGCTTTTAAACGATTGTCATTGACGCCTTTATTTCTCCATTAAAACTAGAACTGCCACTGTCATGGCATGAATACCCCCGCATACCACTTTGTCAGAATCAACAGTGGCCATTTAGAGCTCAAGGACAACCTCCTTGCCAAATCTGAGGTTACAAAGCCAGACAAATCAACAGTGGCCATTTAGAGCTCAAGGACAATCTCCCTGCCAAATCTGAGGTTACTAAGCCAGTGCATTGCTTAGTTATTTTAATTACTAAGTTAAGTATTCTACATGCTTCAAATGTGAAAATGTCAAAATCAATACACTGTGGATAGACATTCTTAAGCATCTGAGCAGACAAGCTTATTATAGTAAAAATCCCTGTGACATTGACCTTTGACCTCAAAATCAATAGGGATCATCTTCAAATCATGACCAATCTAAATACCAAATATGAAGACTGTGGGTCAAAGGAATCTTAAGTAATTGGGCGGACAAGCTTTTGTGTCAAGGCCCCTGTGACCTTGACCTCTGACCCAGTGACCTTAAAATCAATAGGGATCATCTACTAATCATGACCAATCTAAATACCAAATGTAAAGACTGTGGGTCAAAGGAATCTCAAGTTATTGTGCGGACAAGCTTTTTTTAGTCAAGGCCCCTGTGACCTTGACCTTTGACCCAGTAACCTCAAAATCAATAGGGATCATCTACTTATCATGACCAATCTAAATACAAAATATGAAGACTGTGGGTCAAAGGAATCTTAAGTTATTGGGCGGACAAGCTTTTTTTAGTCAAGGCCCCTGTGACCTTGACCTTTGACCCTGTGACCTCAAAATCAATAGGGATCATCTACTAATTATGACCAATCTAAATACCAAATATGAAGATTGAAGACTGTGGGTCAAAGGAATCATAAGTTATTGGGCGGACAAGGAAAAAGCGACAGACAGCCGGACAAGCTGATTCCAGTATACCCCCCTTACAGGGTTATAAAAATCAACTCTAAAAGTAAAAGGCTTGTTCAAGTCATAACTAATACCATTGTTACCACAGTCACATGTGGCAGTTCTAGATATGTAATGTGTTTTTTTCCCAATTTTAAAACATTATGTCAAAACTGAAAAAAAATTCCAAACTGGATGGACCAAGGCCCGCTTCCGAAAGGGTTGAAATAAACACTGACAAGAGAGATGCTTACATATCGTATTACTTTATTTCTGTATTAAACCATCAACTATCTATTAGAAGTAAAGTAGATTTAGTGCATACATTATATATAATACTAGTACAATAATATTTGTAATGCTGCCAGTGTAACTTCGGCCAAAACGGTTAACTAAGTACTCCTGTGAAATAAATATTTGCACGAAAATTTTAGCAGCATTTTCTTTTTTAACATCGTACCAATAAAATAATAATGATATATTTTTAAAACATTAATTTTGTTTAGTGGGAACCAAATCTGGGAAATTAAAAACTAAAAATCGGTTTTTAATTGGGATAAATATGATAATAAAATTTTTAAGTTTTTAAACTGAAATTGTTTCAAACACCAATGTTTTTAAGTGATTTTTTAATTTTGATAAATTTTTTAATCTTCATGTATGAGAATATAGTGGATATATAGATGTACATATGATAATTGATATATAGTATTGCCTACAGGTACTGCATCCTCAAAGATATTTCGGTAATCTTTAACATGTGATAATTTGCATTCATAGCTCCACCTTAGTTATAAACACATGTCAGGTAGTCCTAAATGTTTATTGTCTTTCATTATAAGCTTAAACTTTGATGGATACCTAGACTTTTGAGCAAAGTTGCAGAATTAAAAAATTCAGTATATCTATGTCCTTTACACAAATTTACTGAACATTTAAAGAGTATTTTTTCAGTTATAAAACTTTTAAAACTAAAAGTGTGCTTGAAAAACTTTTAAAACTAAAAGTGTGCTTGAGTTTTTTAAGTTAGAGCTGCATGTACAGTACACTAAAATCTTTGAATAATACTAAAAGTGTGTCTTAAAGATTATTCAATTAACTTAATTAAAGATATTTGGCATTAATGTTATGAACTTTGGAATAAGGAGAGGAAACTGGGACATTTAAACTTATGTACAATATGTATGTGTATGTACCATTAATCTAATCTAAATAGGTCAAGTAAAATAAAAATCATTATAGTTTATACATGTACATCATATATTATGTTACGTAGTTTTCTTACAAGAAATATCTATGAGTTCAAAACTGGTATATCTTAATTAAAATATTATCCATTATTAATGCGGTGTTGATGTGAGGTTTCTTTGTATTCCTACTTTTCTACCAAGAAATATCTTACATAATCAGATAATATCTAAACATGACAAATTAAATATATACCAGGATATACCAAAGAAAACTTAATTCATGTCAAAAGAATGTTTTTAACAGCCTACATTGAACATGAATCGAAAAGAAAATTTTTTTTTCCTGAAACATTGAATTTTAAACTTTATTTACTGTCACTAAAACTGAATAAGGTTGTCAGTAGATTTATTCATAACTAGAATTTACTTTCTATTAAAGCCAGACATCTACTTGAATTAAAAGCTAAAACATCAATTTTCTAAGAGATATTTTTGTATCCACATACAACTGTACATGTATCATCGATTTGATTTTCTCTGACATAACGAGAAAATTGAATAAAACACTTCTACGAAAATATACTACAATATAATGCAATGCTTATTATTTACAAGGGAAAAACCTGCCAGACATTCGATATCAGTAACAAGAAAATATGCAATTTTTCCTTTCAGTTGGTATCCAAGATGCGTTATTTTGTAAGAATATTGATAAGGGAAATATTCGAATTTATAATCAACATTGATGATTCTTAAAGCAGCATGCCTCCAGATTCATGCTAATTTTCATAAAAATTTTGAAAATGTATTTAAATATAAAATAATTTGTGAAGTGAAAAAGAAAGTTATTTACATTTGAAACCACTAAGTTACCAAACAAGAGGTCAAAATATGCAAAATAACCCTTACTGCGTTAGTAACGCAGCAGAAATATGGTGATAAATACTGCAAAGTCAGACATCAACTGCAAATTACATGTAAATTATTACTTGAATCCTAGCTGAATCCTTATATTATTTATCCTGAAATCATATGACATATCCTCAATTTTGATTTTTTTGAAATATTTTGGCTCATCTGGAGGCATGCAGCTTTAATAACAAATTATAAATGTGCTGATGTCATTTCAACTGTTTATAGGTACATGAAGTGGGTGTTTTTTTTTTCTTCTTCTAATAATATATCATTTTAATTGACAATTCTACAAGAAATAAAGGAAAACGATACTAATTAACTCTGTAAATGCTAACAAGACACTTCAGACACTTCATCATTTGCCTATAGCACCATCATGGAGCTGTGCCAGTCTGTAGAATAGGTAGTCACAATTTACTCTATAGACTGAACTAGATTACTCTTCTGGTTGTCACACTACTCTTTATCTTTAGCTACATTAATCTAAATTAAATTAAAAACTTGTGTATGCCTTAAATTAACAAACAAAATAATAGTGCAAAATCAAAATCAGGACAAAAGGATAAAATAAATGTTAGTATGGGTGCCACAATATGGTTATTTCAAAATCAGAATAAACTTAATACAATATTAATTTTATAAATTATATTGAGCATGCAGTGAACAAAAGAAAGCCTGCAAAATAAAAATGTACATGAACGACATGCAACCTACATATATTTGACATTTTACGATTGGCGTATCATGTCTGTACCATCAATTCAAGTAATACTTGTCTTGAAGCCATCTTGCTTAAGTGCCAAAGAGGGTGAAGTGGATGACACTAAATCGTACCAAAAATGATGCAAATCCAGCCATTTCAAATCAAAAATCAAATTTACAACAGTAATTGTTTCACTCCAAGTAAACGTTATAACGTAAAAACTTACTTGTATCATACTGGTCACATGACATGGGTTAAATATCCATATAAACTGCCGAGTCGCCAATTTAAATCCAAGTTCGATACCGAATGTCAGACACATGGACACTAGTAAAATTCTTTTTCCGCACATATCTCGGTTTTCCAGAGGAGGTATTTTGTCAGGTAGTGTTATACGTTTGTATGCATAATTTATACAACATGCAGCAAAAATACAGGCAAGACCGCTCTCGGCCACACGCTGCCATAGTGGTATGAAGTCGACACACTCTTTTCCGCCATTTCCCGGAAGATTATGATCCACACCAATGTAAGCCCATTCAAACATTGTGTCGACAGGGTTGTGTTAAAAAAATCCAATCTGAAAGAGAATTAAACAGTTTTCAAGCAAGCGAGAAACCTTTCATGGAGAGTTTTATCAAATAAGCTTCTTAAATTTTCTAATTAATCAATACGAATAAATGTAACTCATCATAGTTTTATGAATCATTTATGAAACAAATATCGTTTTAACCAAAAATATGCAAAATTTATACAATAATACTTTAAAAGTATAATTTACTATATCTACATGTACAAAAACACTTTAATACCAAATAAACATAGTGAAAAACTGCGCAATTTTCTCAGACAACAAGTATAACTATAAGTTGAACTTAACAGAAGGTTCCTCTTTTATATTTGAATGCACATGTCTAGTGTTCATTAGAAAGAATCTGAACAAGAACTGTGCAATACAATATCATTATATGATATTGATAACAATTGCATTGCACTATTCTAATATGCACCTAATGGAAATATGCTGCACTTAATGACTTTGTAAATACAGGAATAAAAACTTATGTTCTTGATATCATTTGGTTTATTGATATAATGTGTCCTATCACTTTGCATTTTCTAATTCTGTGTATAAGGTCATGTCTATATCATACTCAAGCACATTGTCTTTAACCATATACCTGATGCATTTCTCAAATGAACTTGTCCAGCTTCTATTTTTGGAATTGTCCATTATCACTTTTGGGGATATTCAGATAAAAATTTGTAGTTAGTCAGGCAAAAGTATAGAGACTGGCATGGTTGGTGGCAAAGGCTAGTTACTTAAGATCCCAGCTGTCAAAGGGCAAAAGAAAATGATGTTGCAATTACCTAAAACAAAATGATGTTGCAATTACTTAAAACAAAATGATGTTGATATTACCTAAGGACAAATCAATCTTGTTCACAGAATATTGGTCAAATAATTAATACCAGTCCCCAAATTACCTATTACTTAGTGTTTCTGAACTCCACACCAGTACACAACAACCAAGTTATGTACAAAGTTTTTAAAACAAACACCTTAAAATTAATGTCAAATTCATAACACCAATCAACTGCAACCTCACCCCCTGTCAAATCTCTATCCCCCTGCCCTATCCTGTATGGGGGGGGGGGGCAGGGGGCAATACTAAAATAGACTGGTACATAATTACATGTGTATTAAGTGCTAAATGTACAATACAATAATCCTCCTTACTAATCGAAGACTTTCACCACATTTGTCTGGGGTGGAAAAAAAATCGCTCCTGAGCATATTGTAGGCAGCAAACTGAATCGAGCTTCATGCATATCATCAATATATTATCAGTATTATAAGTATTTATTTAGACTACTTCAACTTCCAGTGTTTTCCTACTCTATAATTACATCCAATTTTTCATTATTGATAATATCTTTTTGTATTTCTACGGCTTTAAGTAATTGAACCGAGGTCTAAATAAAGAAGAATGAAGAGCCAAGTTGACTGCGTTAAAGCAGCATGCCTCCAGATTCATACAAATTTTCATGTAAATTTTGAAAATGTATTAAAAGTTAAAAGAATTGTGAAGCAAATAAACAAACAAAGAAATTTACACATTGACAATCCATGTAAATTACCAAAAAGAGATAAAAATATACAAAAACAGCCCTTACTGTGTAAGTATCGCAGTAGAATTATAGCAGTAAAAAACTGCAAAATAAGTCATAAATCGCACATAACATGTAAATTATTACTTGAATTGTGAATCTTTTTACTTTTCTTAATGTTTTTTGTACATTTTTTCTTTTGAAATATGTTGGCTCGTCAAACTCATCGTGAGACATTCAGCTTTATTACGTACATTTGTATCATGCTAAAGGTTCATTCTATAACGATGTCTATAACTTTAAAGATACAAAATATTTCAAACCTTGATACAAATTTAACACCACCACAATTATCTCCTCTTATAAATTATCACAATAATTTAAAATTATCACAATAATTGCGAAGTTAAAATGTGTACCCTAAAAACAACAGAATTTAATTAATATTCGCTCAAAACCCCGGGAAATACATGTAATGCATCAAACACAAAAAGTTGTACAAAAAAGAACCTTGGACTTTGTACAGACTTGATCTACATTTCAGTTTGACATAAGGTTACATAACTATAGATTTTGAGATTGTTTAAACAATGCGACATTTTATTATAGGTATTATCTTAACGTATAAATGTAGATTATGCGGTTATCAATTAACCTACTACAATGTATCACATTAATGAGCATATATCCATCTGATTTATACAGATCAAGTTGTCTCAACCATAGCATAGCCATTATACTTAAAATGATTAATATTACGATATATACATATTATGTAAATATGATATCCGACAAATACGACATAAAATATAAAATTAATACACCTGCATAATCAGGAGGGCGACTCTTTTTCCAATTCCTTTAAACAATTTGCAGAGCTCTAGGAGTGAATTATTAATTACATGTACTGTTTATTTAAACGCATACACTGGAACGCCAAGTATTGACACCAATAATTAACTTTATTATTTATTCATCCCCACCTGAAAAAAAGGCAACTGGGCCTGAGGTTAATTGGTAAATTTCTAGCTTTGCTGGTGGAAGAAGGTCATCAATCCAGCTCAGACAAATATTTCAGTAACTAGCAGGGTAACTGATCAATCCACTGAAGGTCAAATGAAGAGTTGTCTGTAAGAAAGTGTACTGCTTGACTATTCTCAGTGCTTGATAGTAAAACAAGAGCCTGAATAATGTAGAACTTTTTAAGTTCAAAAAGGGCCACAACCCTGTCAAAGTCTGTGTTAGAGTTATGGTCAGTGACTCAAAAAAGTGTGTGAAGTTTCAAACCATTCTCTTCAGTCCTTTCTGAGATACATGTACCAGCCTGCATACCAAAGTATGAGACTGAGACTCCCTATTCTTTGAATAGTTGAGCAAATTAAAGTTCAAACTCCAAAGCAGTTAGGGGCAAGTGACTCTTGGTCAGCAATCTGTATCATTTGGCTAATATGGCTTCAGGTCTTATTCCTTAAAATAATTCTTGGAGATTAGCACAGGTCTTTGAAATTCATGTAATTGAACTTGTTGGATTAATATGAAAAAGTTTGACAGAGCCTGGCTATACAATGTAAACATGCATACTGTCCTTGTACATGTACATTAACTTATCATATTTCTTCTGTACACCTTAATATACATAGCACAGACAGACTTTTCACGTATCACTCAAATTTATGCAGAAAAGTTTTAACGGTGGCAATGAAAAACTGTAACCTGGTACACTTTTTGTATCACATTAATTGAACCTTTGACACGAAAAACATTGATACCTACACACTTTAATACCAGCAAATCCCAAGATGATAGTTTACAACTAAATCACTTGTTCCCTATAGCTTACAGTAAACATGTCAATCTATGTAAATGCAAAATTTTAGATATACCACTGCGGGGACAGATTAAGTCTTCATAAACTAATGGCAGTTTGTGTACATGTACAAGTGTTGGCTCCCTATAGAGATAGATAGATCTCTTAAACATTAATACTATCAGATAAGAAATATCTACCATACTAATTTTACTTCCTGAAATTCAATTTGTAGACAAAAGTCTCTTTCAAATCAAATGAAAATCAATTTAGAAAACGAAGCAAAATCAATTAATGCAACATGTACATTGTATTTATGTGATATGTCAATGTGTATATACAAATACATGTATGTACTTCACTTCCTGAATTGTTTTGTAAAAAGTCAAAATCTAATTCCCTAACATATTTTTAGTAAAGACAAATGAAGAAACATGGTTGTGACCTAAATAGGGCTCGAACGCATGATCCCTAGGTTGAGAGACAAGACACCTTTACTACTAGGCCTTCAAGCATCTCTGGTGCCCATAGCAAATGCCTAGTGGCTTCAGAAAATTGAAGGGCAACTGATTCAAATTTGACCTAATTATGTATTTTTTTCACAAGTTTATTATAGCTTGTACCCTAGTTCTATTTGAAAAGACTTCAACAAAATCTGAAATATTAAAATGAATGCAGTGAGGTCTCACTCTGTCTGCAGGACCTACATTTATAAATCACAAGTCCATTCAAGTATAATTTAACATTAAGGGCTGTAACTCCAGCTATCTAATATTAGCTGACACTTAAACTGTATTGCTACTACAGTTATTGAACCTACAAGACTGTATAAAGATGAAATAAATAATTAATACAAAAATAAAAAATATCTGCATATGAGTCTTTTTATTCCCTCATCTTAAAACATGCCCAGTACAGGCCTGTTCCTAATAGCTAAAAAATTCCATTTTCTCAAGAAATGCAATGTACTGATACTATTTATTCCACCAGTTGTGAAAAATATCTTGAATAGATAAACCTTGATCCATTCCCAAGAGGCAAGAAGGATGGGGAAAATACAATTTTTTTTTATTTTTGATGGTTTACATCTGTCTTTCCTTGAAATGAATAACCTTTGTTCACTTTAAATTCCAGCTTAAAGATCAGTTGACAGTTATGACAGTCTATCAAAATGAACTTTAAATTGTTTAAAAAAAACCAACAGAATTAACAATAGTTAGTTCACTAGCACTACTACAATGTTCTATACATTATACATTTACTCTTAAAAAGGTACAAACATGTTTGTTTCTGGCTCTTCCATCAAAAAGGTCAATAGGTCAATCAATAGCCTGTTTCTTCTCATTTCTTAATGGATAATGGAACCACTTGCCCCTCACCACTGTGGGTTCCAATCCTGACAGGGACTTTGGATTGTTTCGTGTGAGGAAGCTATCCAGCTAGCTTAAGGAACGTCGGTGGTTCTACTCAGGTGCCTATTCGTGCCTGAAATAATGCACAGAAGGGCACCTGAGGTCTTCCTCCACCACTAAAGCTGGAACATCGTCATATGACCTAGATGTAAAATCCAATCAAACAAACAAACAAAACTTGGATAAAACTCAAAATTTGATAACTTTGCATTATCATCTATCAGGACAAGCTTTATTTTCACCATTCCCCTCCCCAAGATAATTAGACAGTGGACT